TCCTCCTTCCCGCCCTTCCTCCCTCCCTCCCTGTCCCCACCCTCCTTCCTTCCCTCCCTCCACCTACCCGTCAGCGCCAGCTGGAGGACAGAGACCACCCCCCCCACCCCGCACCGCTCCCCATTGGAATCATGGGAGGTAAAGATGGCCCAATAGTTTTAAATGGTTAAAAGATACCAGCACGCCCTGGCTGACAGGTGTGGCTCCGTGGGTTGGGCATCCTCCCACAAAGCAAAAGGGTTGCTGGTTCGATTCCCGGTCAGGGCTCATGCCTGGGTTGGGGGTTTAGTCCCTGGTCAGGGGCGTGTGAGAGGCAACTCATCGATGTTTCTCTCCTTTTCTTCTTCCCTTCCTTTCCCTCTCTCTAAGAATAAATAAATAAAATATATTTTTTAAAAAATCAACAAGAGAAGGATGTTTCCTGGCAACTTTCTGCTTAAAAAAAAAAATTCTTGGCCCTATGCAGATTTTCATATAAGAATAATCATGTCCCTTGAAGAGATTTTTAAATGTTTGATCTTTCTTGAACTTGGCCACTCATTATCTGGAAATGCTGACCCGGGGTGGTTAAGGAGTTCGTCCGTAGCGGGGCCCTGGAGACGGCCGCTGCCGCCAGAGGTTTCCGCTCGTCACTGGATTTTAAACGTGGGCACCTGTGCAGAACCCGGAACGTTCTTCACCCAGAAGCCTTCGCCTGCCCGTGTGTCTGCTCACGCCTTCCTCATTTCAGAGATACACCGTTCACGTCTCCAAGAGGCAGGCAGGCGGGCACTCGCTTGCAAGAGACTCGCTACCTGCAGCTCCAGAGTCTGGAGGCAAAGCTGCTAACAAGAGCCGCTTTTGCTCCCTGAAAGGACCGGCCCTCTGAGCTGAGCTGTGCTCGCAGCTCAAACAGTCCTGCCTGTTTCCCATTATCTTCGCATCCCCATCTCACTCGTGAGGAATGCGAGCTCGAGGGACAGCAGCCAAGCCTGGATCAGCCCCGGCTGGGGTGGCTCCGTGCATGGATGGAGCGCTGGCCTGGGAACCGACAGGTCGCTGGTTCGATTCCCGGTCAGGGCACATGCCTGGGTTGTGGGCTAGGTCCCCAGTTGGGGGTATATCAGAGGCAACCAATCAATGAATCGATGTTTCTCTCTGTCGCCCTCCCCTCCACTCTCTAAAATAAATAAAATCTCTTGAAAAAAATAGAAATTACATTATAAAATACACAATGCAAATGATTCTTAAAAAAAGACTGGATCAGTCTCCAGCCACCAAAGAACACACACCTTCCCTCCTTCATCCCGTCTGTCTCCAGGGTGACAGGTTCTGTGTGCGAAAGCTGCCTGGCCACCGCCTGCGCCGCGGCCAGCTGACCAAGGCCAACATCACGGTGACCAGTCTCGTGGGCGGCGTGTCCCCTGGCAGGATGTGATGGGAGGACCCTTCCGTCTGGGGTCCCCAAACCCCTAACTCCGTAAATGTTCTCACGTTTCCCTGGGAACACCACCCGACGAACCCCAGGGGAGGGGCAGCGCCCTACAGAATCCCCGCCCAGCCCTCCCGGCCACTGCCAAGGTCGTCCAAACCTGACCCGCCCACCGCCTGGGGAGCCACGGAGGCCCGAGGACTCAGTGTCCTCAGTGTGGTGTAACACCTGATGTCAGGAAAGGACAGGAGGTGCGCGCTAAGGAAATCTGAGCAGGGTAGAGATGTCGTCAGTTAGTAATAGCGGGGTCCCATCGCTTCATTAACTGTAACACACACCCCCAGACCAGCAGAAGGTGTTAACATGGGGGGACGGGATGGGGCTTCCGGAACCGGCAGGGCGCAGGGAGACACACGGGCCTGGAGACAGTGACAGGGAGACGGACAGGACCACAGTGGGGGCGGCTCGTGCGGCCCCCGGGGCCTGAAGGGGTCAGAAGGCCGAGGAGGGAGGGGGCTGCCACTGGCCCCCCCAGCACACTGCTTGAGCCGGGGCACCTGGTCGGCCCCCGCCCCGCCCCGTGTGGACTCCCGCCGTAGGGCCCCCTGCTCCTCAGGCCTTCGGACGCGGGATGGGTCCCGCCCGCAGCTCTCTGGGGTCTCCCGCCTGCGGGGTGCGCCAGTCGTCAGCTCCTTCCCATGGCCTGCTCCACACACGGGCCCCTGGGGAGCCCGCCCGGCCACCCGCTCCTCCCCCCGCCAGGACCCCTCCCCCGCCCCTGCTGCTTCCTCTCCCTAGAACGCCGCTCCTTCCCCCGCCCCGCCCCCACCGCCGGCTTCCTCCGGCTCCATCTTCAGGTCCCGGCCTAAGGGGCCCTTCCTGAGAAAAGCCTTCTCTGACCCCCACACTGGGACCAGCGGGCTCACCCCCAGCACGCAGATGGGTCTCAGACCCCTGGAGAGCCAACCCCGGCTTCCCTCAGGTGGCAACGGGGCTGGGGGGGGGGGTGGAGGGGCCTCTGGAGGGAGGGGTGTGGCCCGCAGGCCGAAGCCGCTTTGAACGACCGTCAGGCAGGGGCACGGGGTGAGATGGGGTCAGAGTGCAGGCACCCGGCGCCGAGGGGCCTTGGGATAGAGGCGGCGGCCAGGCTGTGCTCTGAAACAACACACGTGGGGCTCGTGCACCTAACCCAGCGCCTGGCGCGTGTGCGTGGGGGGAATGGACAAAGGGAGCGAGATTTCCAGCCCGGCTCTGTCCCCCCAGCACACGCCCGTCCTCCTGGGGCAGTTTCCTGCTCCTGGAGCCCGGAGCCTGGGACAGTGTTGGGGTTGGGGGGAGAGGCTGTGTTCGGACAGAGGGGAAACCGAGGCCCTGGCTGGGCGGAGGTTGTGGGGACGGACAGGAAGGGTCGGACTCGAGGGGGTTCTTCCGGGACGGCCGCTGCGGCCGCTTCCTGTCGGCGCCGAGTCCGTTTCTCCGGATCAAAGTTGACGATGAATCCTATTCCCGACGTCGCTAGCTCCACCGATGTCTGGGGAAACTCCGTCCCACTTGACTGCGACACTCCCACGCGGGGAGGGCAGCCTGTCGGTCTCACCCCTCCACGCTCAATGCCGCGGCCGTACCACCGCCCCTCTCTGCTGCGCTCTGGCTTTTCTAGCAGGACCTCTGCCCCCCGAGAATTTCTGGGGCATTACGTGTAGAGGAGCCATCCTTTCTGGGGACGATCACGAGATCGAAGACTTGGTCGCTGACTCAGTGCGGGAGGTCACCTTCCACTGCAGTGACAGATGCCTCTGGCTCGCATCCATGATCTCAACCACGAGACGTCAGAATATTTTAGCTGACCGGCCGGCCTATCCGTCTTGTGACGGATGCCGGAGAAACCGACTGCTGGAAAGGGGGGGGGGGGGGCAGCTGTCGGTCTCGCAGCTGGTCCAAATTCACAGCATGTGCTTCCTCTGCAAACGTGATTGCTGTTTATTCTCCGAGCCCGATAACGCTGCACGTCCTTCCGCACGAACGCGCTTTGTTCTGAGACGTTATCTAAGGACTTGGCCCAGGAGTTCGGTAATTTCCTTGTCAGGAAGACGCCACGAAGAAAGCCGCAACTCAGGCGTGGAGATGCGTCGCCCAGGACGACCGATGGCCCCTCTGAGGGCACCCTGTTCGCCCTCAGAGACGGGAGGGCCGGCTGGCCCCCCGCACAGCACCAGGACAGCCACCCACAGTGCGCGTCTCAGACTCTCCCAGTGCGGATGGGAGCACGCCCACGGCTCGCCCTGGCCAGTGTGGTTCAGAGGGTTGGGTGTCGTCCCGCAAACTGAGAGGTCGCAGGTTCGAGTGCCGGTCCGGGCACGCACTTGGGTTGCAGCTCTGGTCCCAGGTTGGGGGCGCACAAGAGGCAGCCACACATTGATGGTTTCCTCCCCCTCTTTCTCCCTCCCTTCCCCTCTCTCTAAAAAAAAATAAAAACCCTTTAAGATAAGCTAGAAATTCGAATTTTGAGTGCGAGCTGCCCCTGAGGCCGGAGGCCCACTCGGCAGAGACACGAGCCGCAGGTCGGGGGACAGAGGGGCGGGGAGCCGGCCCGCCCGGAGAGGGAGGAAACCCGACAGGAAGGCACTCACTCCAGCCGGGGCCGGGGGGCACCCCCTGCAGCCCTGGACATCGTCATACGGCGCCGTTTTTTCCTGAGAACTGACAGGAAATTTAACTTTAAAAAATAAACTTTTTGCACACGTGACTAAGTGTATCTCAGAACTGTGACGGTGAGAGGCACTGGGTGTGTCAGGTGGAACAGGCGTCCCCCCAAAATGTCCACATCCTCCTTCCCGGGACTTGTGACAGGCGTGACCGGAGCCCAAGGGGGCCTCCGGGCTGCAGGCAGCACTGGGGTGCCCACTCAGATGGCTGCGTGAGAAACCAGGACAGCGGCCTGGCGCACCGGGCGGGCCCAGCACGACCACCAGGGCTCGGGCAGGGTGGACAGGCGACGGCCCGAGGGAGCCCGGCAGGTGCCCGTGGGCAGCTGTGGGGGCTCAGGCCAGGCCGTCGGCCGAGGAAGGCGGGGAGGTCAAGACCAGGACGTCCGGGGGACCCAGCCCGGGAGCCCCTCCCGGACCTCCTCCTGCAGGATGGCTGTGCCGTGCTGTTTAGCCGCCACGTTTGCCGGCGTGGCTGGAGCGGCGGCAGGCCCCCAGCGCAGCGGCAGGTCCAACGGGCGTGGCTGTCGCTGTCCGGAACGCGCCTGCCCTCTCTGCCGCGTGTCCCAGAGCTCTCACGTGGTCCTCCCCCCCACGCCCCCACGTCTCAGTGGCCCGAACAGCCGGCCCTCGCCCTCGCCCTCGCCCTGCCACAGCCAGCACGTGCGGGCAGCGCTCGCCGCCTCCGCACGGGCTTCCCCGGGCGCTGCTGGACGCGGACGCTGGGAACCGGCGCAGACGCGCTGAGTCGAGGGAGGAACGGGGAGACCCTGCGGGGCAGGCACCCGAGCGAGGACACACACGGGGACCTGACGGCCTCCCGCCCCCGGGGGGAGCCAGAGAGCAGCCCTGGCCGGGAGAGCCAATCGCCTCCACAGGGCATCTGAGTGTGTGTCTCGAAAATTTATTGAGGTGGGTTCCCACGGGGCGACGGGCAGACTCGCTGGCACGTGGTCGCGTGGAGAGCGGGCCCGTGGCGCCAGGGGGCTCGCTGCCGCCCGAGTCCCCCCGCTTCTCCTGGGCGCGCTGGAGGGCGCTCCGCCGCGGCTACAGGAACCGGATCCCGGCCCCGAACTGGACGCCGTCACACACCCTGGGAAAAGGGCAAAGAGTCAGTGGTGGCGCCGGTTCCGCGCGCCCTGCCGCCCTCTGAGGCACCCCCGCCTCACAGCCCCGGCCCAGACGGCCCTCTTGTCCATGCCACCACCACCTGGGCGCCGATGCCCAGCCCAGCCCACCCGCCTGGCCGTCACCGGTCTCCAGCGACGGCGCCCAGTCAGGGAGCAGAGGCCTGCAGCCCGATCGGAGGCGCGGGATGAACCCTGGGGGGTCTGCGGCCGCACACCTGTGATTAACCCCCGCCTGCCCGCGGCCGGGCTCGAAAATGAAGACTAAATCCCGACAACGTCGCTCAGACGCCACCAAACCCTGGTGCTGGCGCCGCACGCGCACAGGGCAGGCGAGGGCCCCCCCCAGCGCGCCGGCGACCCTGTGCAGGAGCCACTGCCCCCAGCCGCCACCGGCTGCAACCTCCGGCCTCAGAACACTGCGCTCACGGCCGGCCGCTCCCCGCAGAGGACACCACCCCGAGGTGCATCTCTGAAACACCGAGTTCAGAGTTAGCCGGGGCAGAGGGAGGGGAGCCTGAGCCGGGGAACCCGGCCGTTCCTGTCAGGACCACGCGAAAAACAGGCCAGGCCACGGGGCTCCCCAATCAGCGACATTGACTTCTTGGGGCACAGTGACACCCAGTGGCCTCCAGCAGCCACGCAGCCACGGTGCCGGCCTGGCGGCTGCGCCAGCTTCCAGTCTGCTGGGCCTGGCCCAGTCCCTGGGGCCAAGGAGCGCCCGGGCAGGGGCTGGCAGCCCCGCCTGCGGCCTGCCGCTCTCCCGGCCGGCGGGCAGGGCGGCGGGCGGCCCCCAGAACTGGTCCTCGAGCCGGTGAGACACGGTGAGGCCACAGCTGAAACCCGCACAGGCACTCGTCTGCAACAAGACCTCGGCAACGTGCGCGTCCTGGCGTCGCTGGACTGACACTGAACGCCCTGAGCGCACGCCAGCCCCTGCGGCCGCCCTGGGCGCCGCCTGCGTCCTCTCCGGGGCGGGACTCAGCTGAGGCGGACTCGGCACGGAACAAGCAGGACAAAAGCTCTGGGGGCAGGCCGGCAGGACGAGGTGCCCCCCCCTCCCGCTCAGGGCCGGGGTGCAGAGGCAGCCCCCGCGGCAGTGTCCGTGCTCTGGGCCCGACGACAGAGACCCAGAGAGGCTGAGCGCCTCCCCCCGTCGCTCGGCCGCAGAGAGCCCACTCGGGCTGTGCGGCCGCACCCTTCCCGAGTGCGGAGCGGGGAAACAGTCAGGGCAGCGGCGCCCGCAGGCCCTGAAGGAGGGCTCTGACACCCGGGCGCCGTGGCAGCACTGCAGCCAGCACCGGCCTCCCGGTGCGAGGGGAGGGGGCGGAGCCTCCCAGGGGGGAGCGGGAGCTGGGGGCAGGCATGGGCCGCGCCTGTGCTCTCACTGGACGTCACTGAGAGCCCGCTGCTGCCGGGGCCGCCCTTGAAATGGCCCGTCGCCCACCACGCTGGGGTCGGAGACACCCACCACGCTGGGGTCGGAGACGCCGGGGACAGCATTCCCTTCAACAGCTGAGCCTCGGAGCCGGCTACGAGACAGAGAGCACCACCCTTGGTGGCAGCGGGAGTGTGGACAGAACGCCGAACAGGAAAACACAGCCTGCAGTGCTGGGCACAGAGAGGCGTGAAAGGAAGGAGACAACTAACACTACGCAGTGGGGGGCATGCCCGTGTCCCCCAAAACACGCGCACTGAAGCCCTGACTCCCGCCAGTGAGGCGGGGCCTTCGGGAGGTGACTGGGCTCAGAGGAGGCTGTAAGGGCGGGGGTCCCCATGGTGGGGTTTGCTTCCTTGTAGGGCAGCCATCTGCTGCCAGGGACCGGTCAGCCGGCACCCTGACCCGGCCCTCCAGCGCCCAGGGCGGCGAGGCGCTGTCTGAGCCCCGAGCCCACCTGTCCTGTGCCAGCAGCCCAAGCCGGCGCTGCACTGGACACGCACTGCACCGACGACACTTGTGGGTTCTCACAGTCGACACCGTGCCCGCCCAGTAGCGCAAGAAGTGCAGTTCATCTCCGTGGCTGTGAACGGGCCCGCTGCTACCCTCACCCGTGGACTAGGGAGCCAGCCCCGCCCAGCACAGTCACTGGGGGAGGGAGGCCACGGTGGCGGGGCCCCTGCGCCGAGAGAGCCGGGCGCGCAGCTCCGCCCTCCAGCCTGGTCCCGGGCCTGCGCAGCCACCCCGGCGACACCGCACTCCGGGTGCAGGAGTGACAGGGCATGGCGACCCCTCCGGCCGGACCTTGAGGGGCAACAGTGAGTGCAAGCAGTGCGGGGGGGGGGTGATGGGGGTGCACCCTTGTCCTCCAAACCGGACGGAGAACACCCAATGGAGGAAAACACACGCTTCCATCTTCTGCTAACTCTTCAAACGCCTTGACCGTCAGAGGCCCCCAACCAGACCAGATGATGAGCCGAACAAAATGAAGGCAGGTTACGAGAGGCGCGGCGGGGCCGCGAGGGGCCGGCACCTACCTGTCGCCCGCCTGCACGCCCATGGGGATGCAGTAGTTGAGCTCCAGCCGCGCGATGTTGCCCAGCCGCAGCACCACGCCGGCTCCGTAGGACCAGCGGATGCACTCCGCCAGCTTCCGGAGGTGCGCGCGGGGCCCCTCCCCTGGAGAGAGAGGGGAGGGCGTGACCGACGGCCGGCCCTGTGCTTCCCAGGACACTGTCCCCCGCCTGCCCGCTCCCCCGCTTGCCGGGGCCTCGGCCACGCTCAGAGCCAGGCCTGGCCACCAGAGGGGGACACCCGGAGCGGGAGGTGGCCCGGAGAGGCCAGGGGGTGCTCCTCCTCGCTGTCTCAGGGGCCAGCCTTCTCAAGCCTGCGGGCCTGGTGCACTCGGTCCCTTTGCCCAGATGGCACCCCCCTCAGACCCCCCGGGGGAGCCCAGCTCCAAACGTCAGTTTGAGGGTCTTCTTCCAGACATGCCCCGCCTCCCCCTAGCTGGACACGCCCACTGGGAGTCTCCCTGGCCCGCAGCCCCTTGAGAACGTGGCCAGACCGTGGCCGTGACGACGGGCAGAGGGCTGGTGCTCCAGACACGTGTGCCGGGTAAACAGAGACGGTTCCCGGCCAGACAGCGTCCCTTGGGTGCGATCCCCCTCCACCAACAACCGCGCTCTGGGCCAGCGTCGGGCATGGTGGGAGCACACGTAAGGCTCAGTCCTTCCACGTGAAGGCCACGTCTCGTGGACAGACACACAGCTGTCTGGACCCGTCTTGGCCCCGAGCAGCCCGGCTTACCGTAGTTGAGGTTGCAGAGGTTCCCCGCGTTGAGGAAGAAGTGGGTTCTGAAAAGCTCCCCGAAGCCGCCCTGGCCCGGCCGGAACGGGAGCGGGGTGTACAGGTGCAGGCCACCGGCCCAGTACGCCTCCCCGCCCAGGTAGTCTCCTAAATGGGGGGGTGGGTGCAAACAAAACAGGGTCTCACAGACGTGGCCCCGCACTGTCCCCACACAGCACCGCAGTCATCACAGTAACACTGTAATCACTGCGGATGGAGCCAGGCGCGTACAGGAAATATCCTGGGGATCACTTCCCAACTGCCTACCTACTATGCTGCACGCCCAAAACTAGTGTAAAACAATGAGAACGTGACAGTGCTCCTCTCCGGCTCACGGCCGGTGGGCACGCGGAGCGGCACGGCTGTTGTGGGAGCCGGTCGGCCGGACTCCCACCGAGGACTCGGCAGCTGCGCTCCTGGGCGTTTCCCTGGACGGACCGGAACCCGCGTCCGCACAGAAGCTGCACGTGAACGTTTCCGTCAGCTCTGCTCCGGCTGCCGAAACCCGGACGCCCCGGAGCTGACCGAGACGCCCGTCCACGGCCGAGAGGACACTCGAGCTGCGGTGCATCAAAGTGTCACTCCGCTGTCCACTCCACTGTCATACGGAGCGTCCTCCAGTGATACACACGCCTGGCGATAAGCTCCCGGCAGACTAGGAGGAACGTCGAGCGCACGTCCGAGAGCCACTGCGCACCGGCAGACCCACGGGGCGGTCCCCGCGTGCACCGCGGACGGAGCTGGCGGCCGCGTGTCGCCACTGGCTCGGTGGCAACGACAAGTGCAGCCCAGCAGCGCAAGACGCCAGCGGCGGGGCCACCGGGGAGCCCTGCGCTCTCCGCCCAACCTCCCGCGAACCTGACGCCGCTCTCCAAAGTGACACGTACGCGTTTTTAAAGTTACAGCATGTCAGCAGGAGAAGACCCACAGCCGTCCTTGTGAAAACCCTCTCCGCTCTTGGTCACTGGCGGAGATGCAGGCCGCGCGGGGGTAGGTGCGCAGACCCCGCGAGCACGGAGCTACGGGTCCAGCCGCCACGATGCCCACTCGGCCATCACCCGGGGGCGGGACCGCAGGTCGGCAGCGTGCACTTTGCCCTTGACAGGCTCCTACAATGCCCCGGACAAGTGTCGTCCCAGGCCCGCAGCGTGGCAGACGCTGCGCGAGGTGCGGACTCCACGGCGGCAGTTCGGACGAACGCACCCCTTCCCGAGCTGAGCCGCGGGCCGGCGGGGAGACTGACCTTCGCTCTGCGGCCCGACGCTGTGCATGCTGAAGCCGCGCACGCTCGTGGGTCCCCCGAGGTAAAACCTGGAACGGAGCGGAAGGGAAGGGAACGGCAGGCGTCAGAGGGACACCGTGGGCGACGGTCTCACGGCACCGCAGATGAGCTCCCTGGGTCCGGGTCCCGCGAGGACAGGCGTCGGGGAGGACGCACAGGGTGCGGTGGACTTCGTGCGTCCCTCCTCACCCTCTCCCCCACTTGCACCGTCCTCTGCACAGCGGTGCGTCCCCGCTCACTCCCTCCCCCACTTGCACTGTCCTCTGCACAGCGGTGCGTCCCCGCTCACCCCCTCCCACACCTGCACCGTCCTCTGCACAGCGGTCGTGTTTGAACGTAAGGGCCTCCCTACTGGCAGCCTCAGAGTTTCTGCTACTACCAACAGAGCCACAACGGACACCCTTGTACATACGTCTCCGCAGATGGCTACATATTTTTGTGAATTATGTTCACGAAGGTGAAGCTGTTAGGTCCCAGGGTTTAGAAATTAAAAAATTTTATATTCCCAAACACCTAAAAATGCTGAACTAGTTTAGGCTAAAACAACATCTGAATGCACGCCAGGCTGAAGAAGGAGCTTCTCGCCCTGGAGAACAACTGGGAGTGTTTCAAAGCAACCAGGACCGCCCCACCCCCTGCTGGCAGGAGTGTGAACTGCGGCCAGCCTCTGAAAAGCAGCCCCCACCCCATCACCCCAGCCCGTCCCCCTCCTGCTGCCCGGAAGACTGTCCCTGGGCTTTGGAGACCCGACTCCACGTGAAAACAGAATGAACACAGTTCCTGACAACACCACACTCTTCAGTGTTGTTCACGTGCCAATAAAGCAGCACTGAGATGCTGCTGATGAGAGACTTCTCCCGGCCTGGGGGGGGGGGCGGTTCACTCCACGATCTCCCTGACCCTTCCAGGAAGCAGGGGGACACGTCTGCACACAGAACGCAGCACGCCAACAACCCGGCAGGGGCGTGCGTGTAAACCGGGACACGCACACACAGACACACGTCCACAACATGGACCGGACAGAAGACGGCCCACATGTTAATCACTGATTATTTTTTTTTACTTCCTTAAATGTTTCTGCACTTTTATATTTCTGCAACCGTGCATGAACTGTATCCTTTCGCACCCAAAGGAGAATACAAATTCTTTAAAAAAGTTAACCCCCTCTCCCAAAAAGGCAAAAACACCAGGTGTGAGGTGTGCTGGGGGTTTTGAAACCAACTTAAGCATGAACACTAAAATGAGTGCTGGAACATTCGCTCTCCTAGATAAGCGTCTCTGGAATGTCTTACAAGAAACCAGCCAGAAAGAGCCAAAGGAAAACACCCGATCACCAGCGCCCCCCGCCAGCCCCGGCTGTGGGCTCGGCGGCCTGCGAACTGAAGGTTCGATTCCCGGTCAGGGCGCAGGCCTGGGCTGCGGGCCAGGCCCCCAGTGACGGGCGTGCAAGGGGCAACGGGTCCTTGTTTCCCTCACACGTCGACGTTTCTCTCCCTCTTGTTCTCCCTCCCTCCCCTCTCTCTACAAATAAATAAAGCATAAAATCTTGGTCACTACTCACCTGTCAGCAATACTTGATGGTTTATCACCGATGGGTACCAGCATTCCGCCCCAGAGAGATGCCGAAAAAACCTATTGAAACATAAACGAGCAGCCGTTTGTGTCCAGCATCCCTCTCCTCGCCGGGAGCGTCAGCAGATGGAGAACTCGGGGCCCGGGCCTGCTGTGACGGAGGGGGCGAGCCCAGGAGGGAGTCTGCGTCACCCAGACCCTCGGACTTGGCCTAAAAGGAGGGCGGATTGAGAGCTCGCGGCCCCCAGGTGATGCAGGTGCCGGCATTCCGGCCAGATACTCACAGAGTCCAGTACGAGCTGTTTATTCAGCTGCAGCTCAAAGTCTTCTTTTATGAAGTTCACGTCCCCGCCGGTGTAGCCGGCCAGCTCCTGGGGGAGGGGCCACCATCAGAGAGGAGCGGGGGACTCGCTGCCCAGGTTCCACCGCCCGGGTTCCGGGGCAGCCTCGCGGCGGCCACCACTTGTGGTCGCTGCAGCACCTCTGTCTGCTGGCGGCCGCGCCCAGCCCGTTCTCGGTGGGGCCGGGGCCTGGCGGGGGGACGCGGACCGCCATGCGTCCTGAGGAACCACAGAGCACACAGGTCCCACAAGTGACAGAACGAGGGCAACACTAACACCTTATCACAGAGCTCGTAGCGAGTGACACGGCTCGCGTGGCCCAATCAGGGCGTGAAGAAAACCCGCCAGTCTTCCACGATCTGGCACGGTGCGTGCAAACCCGATTTCCAGCTGCTCCTCTGACACTGAAGACTGGCCAGACCCAGCCTCGGCGCCCCACCCCGCCACCGGCTGGCCCCTGCCCGGAGTTGTCGGGGGAACCACTCACACCACAGCACGATGCTTCCCCCTCCACCCCCGACCCAGGCAGGGACCCGGCAGAGGCCAGAAGGCTCCGCTCACTCTGCGGTCAGCGAGGGCAGAGGCCAGGTCCCTGAGAGGGGACCGACACCCTCGCAAGCCACTCTGGAGGGACGTTTACGATTAGGAGAAGCTGTTCCATTGGAAAACAGGCCTCCCAACCCCGACCCCCGGCCCCCAGGGCGCAGGTGCGCAGGGGCAGGCTCGCTACCTGGTTGACTTTCAGCAGTGCGCCTCTCTTGGGTAGGATGGAGGAGTTCCGGGAGTCGATGACCATGGCGTGCTGCAAGACACCGGTGCCGCGGCCCTCAGCTCGGACGGGGCTGAGAAGCGGCGACCCCACTGCGCGCAAACGCTGTGCCAGGCCTCGTGCCAGCACTGCCGAGCCCTTGCCGCGCCCCACCCCACGGAAGCCCCGTGAGGGAGGCGGGAGCCCCATCCACGCCCCACACGAGGGGTCTGGGGGCGGGACAAACGCTCCTCGCTCACTCACCAGGGGTGGGCTGCGCCCCCACCGCCTGGCCGGTTCTCCAGGGGCTCAACCGGGGTCAGCCCCACAGCTTCACCTGTCGGCTCGCGCACACCTGCTCCCACACACCTGCTCCCGCTACCACCACCATCGCTGAGAAACAGCAACAGGCGGCGCCCACCAATTCCCCAAGCGACCGGCCGCACCGCGCTGGCCGCCCCATCTGTGACACCCCTCAGTCCGCCCTGATGGGGCGACGGCGGTGTCCCAGCGCACTCGGCGGCCTCGGCCCGGCCCCCCCACGCCCACGCGCACCAGCGGAGCCCTCACCGAAAGCGACGACTTCAGCGAGTGGCCGCTCTCCTGGCGGACGGCGAAGGACGCCGTCCTGGCGAGGCAGCCCAGCTCCCGCCACACGCCCTCCCACTTGACGGTGTGGCTGGTCCTCCACAGGGGGAACTGCAGGCACAGGGGCGGGCGGTCAGCCTGCCGGGGCCGGACGGGGGGGCGGCGCCGGACAGGCCTTATCCTGGGGGAGGGGGCAGCCCCCGGGCTGAGCGCTGCTGCGTGCACCTCTGTAACCGACGGGCTTCCTTCCACCCAGAGACCTTCCGGCACCCCCCCACCCGGCCCGTCAGCCCCTGGGGAGGAGCGAGGGGACGAGGTCACGGTGGCGTGAAGACCACCCTTCCCGCAGCCAGAGGCCCGAGCCACGGGGGTTCCCGGGGCCTGCAGGTGGGACCCGGCCTTCACTCTCCAGCTCAGGTGTTGCCTAGTGGCCTCGGAGGAGCCATGGGGACAGGCCCCAGCTCGGGGGGAGAGGGTGGAGGGCAATCCAGCAGCTATGCCAGTGTGGGAGGGATCCGGCCTCTGAGGGGTCACTGCTGTCCCCGGCCAGCCCCCACTGGCTGTCTCAGGGAGCCCAGGACAGGGGCGCCGTGTCTGCCCTCTGGCGCCGAGGACGGACAACCGGAGCACCACTCACACTGTACTCCGCCGAGACGCCCCGGTCCGTCTCCCGAAGCGAACTCCACGGGAACTGCCCGGTGACCTTGTACAAGTTCACGGAGAAGCTAGGGGGCAATGAGACAGGGCGTTACCCGCTGGGCAGGGGCCACAGTCGCCCACACTCGGCACGGCAGACGGAGAAACGCACTTCGGGGCGCCTCTTCGTGGGGGGGGGACACACACGGCCGGGGTGCCAGCCGGCTCCCCGACAAGCAGCCCCTCTGACGCGGAACTGGGCCCCTGCGCTCAAGAGTCTGCCTGGCTTCCTACTTTCTCTGGAAGTTTCCGGGCTGTGGTTTGAAGAAGGACAGGCCGTAGGAAGTTTCCTTTGTTCCGTAGGAAAACTGAAACGTCACCTTCTCCGCCCGGCCCAGGACGTTGGGCAGCTTGAGGCCGAGCACCTGGGGGGAAGAGAGTGGGGTTTGGGGAGGGGGGAAGGGAGGGAGGGAGGGAGGGAGGGAGGAAGGACGGACGGACGACGGCTCCCTGGGAAGGCCGGGGCTGGCGAAGGGGCGCCTGAGAAGCGGGACACACGACGGAGGCTGCGGCTCTGGCAGGGCCACCTGCCACCGCTCTGGCTCCGTAAAGCCTGTCGGTGCAGCGCGTGCGCCCGGTGCACCCCTCCCCCACCCCGACCGACCCGAGGGGCCGGCCACCCCCTCCCCCACTGCACTGGGAGGTGCAGGGAAACCAGCTGTGGTTGGGGGGTTGGGGGGGGACGGGGACAAGAAACTTAACGTGAACACCCCCAAACCATCCCTCCGTCACTGCTGACGTCCCCGCTGCTTTCAAACAACCCGAAGCTCATGACGCCGCTGCCGCCGCCAGGCTCTGGGAGACCGAGGAGAAGCTGCGGTGTCTCCTCTCGCGCGCGGGGGGGCAGGGGCGGGACAGGGTCTGCATGCCCACCCGCCCGTCTCCCCAGGACGCAGCCCCTCTGCGGGGCGGGAGAGCCCGGGCCGTCCGTACCATGCTGCCCTCGTTGTTCCCGACCATGGTGTTGTAGCTGCCCGTCAGCCTCCTCAGCTCGGTGACTTCGAAGGTCACGTCCAGCCCGTTGGGGAGGGCGTCGTCGCCTGGGGGAGGGGCAGGCGCGCCGCGGTGAGGGGTGAGGCCCGCGGAGCGTGCACAGGCGTCCCACTGCTGCAGGGCAGTGAGGGCTGCGTCTGCTTCACAACCCCCTTTGGCAACCCCGCCCGCCATTCTCAAGGTCAAGAACACGCTGCCACCCACGGTCACCCCCGCCTCCACGCCCAAGCAGCCGGCCCCGTCGCTGCGGCCGAGAACCCGGAACACAGACTCCGCCGCAAGGGCACAGCCCCGGCAGCACCGCTGGCCAAGCACGCCGGGTTTGCTTCTGTCCTACCAGTGGGGGGGACCCCAACGCCACCTGGGGTCTCAACTCGACCGACACTAAAATGGGGCATTCCCTGAGGGACCCCAAGTGGGACCCCTGTCACCCCGAGAGAGAAGCAAGAGCCGAGATATGCCCGCTCGGGAGGGGTCACTTCGGTCCTCCTTCAGGCTGGGGGTGGGGCCCGAACCCGGTGCCGCCTGCCAGCCACCGAGTGCCCGGTGCCGGGAAGCAGGGCTGGGCTCCCAGGCCGTGGGCCGCTCCCGGGAGGGAGGGGCCGACCCTGACCCCGGCCGGACAGGACATGCGCCGCCGCCGGGGGAACTGTCACACACGCAGACGCCCACGCCCTGGCTCCCGAATACTGATTCCGCTGGTCGGGGCACGTCTTTTCACTGTGTCCTAGATCGACAGATTCTGTCATTTAAAGCAGTTTCGGGTCCACAGAGAAGCTGGAAACACAGCAGCTTCCCTACCTCCCCGCACACACTTCCTGTCACTGACACGTGGCACTGGTGTGGCCGCGGCCACGGCCGACCTCACAGTCAGACGGTGCTTTTCAGTGCTGTGCGGCCTGCCCTCACGGGGTTCACTCCCACTGTGGTCCATTCTGGGGGGCCCACCGTCACCGGCTCACACAGAACGGCCTCGCTGCCCCGATCCACAGGTTCCTAACAGCGCCCGGCAATGCCGGCGTGCAGCCGGTGACCACTCGCCCAGTGGGCCAGCCAACCACGTACGTGTCCCCCTCGCAGCAGACAGGAGGGTGCAGAAGCCAGCGCCGCCACCGAGACCAGCCTCCGCGAGCAGCACAGACCTCCCTGGTCTGCCCTGGGGCACGTCGTTAAACTCCCTAGCCCGTTTCCTTAGCTGAAAATCGTTCTTTCTAAAAGAGTAACAGTGCCCAGGTGTCCGTGAGATTCATCCGGGTCACAGACACAAACCCTCACACAGAGCTGAGCACAGCATGACTATCACAGTGAGGGTGCAGCGGCGGCTGGCTGTCTCCCCGTGTCCTCTGCCCTCGCTCAGCTGGCATTGCGGCCGGATTGCTGGCCGCGCCCCCAAAGCCCTGCTTCCATCGAACGTTCATTCCTGCCAAGCCCTGGGCCAGGGCAGTGCTGTCGGGCTGGGGCCGCAATCAGAAGCGCGGTTCCAGCCGTAGGCGAGCCCTCACTCCCCAGCTGACTGCACTGCCCGGCTTCCCTGCACCAGGCTGAGCTCCTCTGGGCTGGTGGGGTCGGGGGGAGGGGCGAGCCCTTCCCTCCTTTCCTCCTTCCCAGCGCCCGGGACGGGGAACGTGGGTGCTGGAATGGTGCTCAGCCACCACGGGGACCAGAGGACGCTGGGGACGGTAAAGTGACGAGACCCCATGGGAAAACCACACTAGCCCCAGGAGACCGCAGGAGCAGAGCTGTGACAGCAGCCCCAGACCGTCTCCCACAGCAAACAAACACACAAACAGAAACTATAAACGGGACTCTGATCCATAGTGCCCCCCTCTTTTCAAAGCACACATTCAGATGGGGTCCACAAGGGCCCCCCGGACACCTGCTGGGCTGGGCGACCCCGAGTATCACCTGGCTCCCGCCCCCGGACCCTTCTCAGACCCCTGGCACCATCCCGGGTCCAGAGGACAGTGTGTTCACAGTGCGCCCGCCCTCCCCGGGCCTGACACACAGACCCAGTTACTCCCCGGGACTGCGGACCACCGAGGCCGGGCCGCCTCTGCCGGGACACGCACACCGCCTCCGTGACCCCGGGGGGCGGGGGGGGAGGGGCACCACGGAGCACGACACGCAGCACGCACCTTGGCACGTGTCGATGAGAACATCCACTTGCTTAAATATCCCCAGACGGAGCAGCTTCTCGCGGGCCTCGTGAGACTTCCGCATCACCTGGGCGGCGGGAGAGCCAGAGAATGTGTCTGTCCGAGGCCGGGAAATGCGACAGGGGCCCCGGGCCCGGGCTGGCGGTTGCCGCCGCGTGCTGGCGGGTCCCTGAGACGAGAGCGCCCCTCGACCAGACGCCCGGAGGAAGGGACAAGGCAGGAGGGGCGACAAGGAGTCCCACTGGGAGAGCGGAACGCAGGCAGGGTGACCACACCACCCCTTCTGCGCGAGCAGACGGACCCACGGGCCGCATGAGAGAGCACCCGGCCGGGCAGGCTTTCCCGGCGAGAGTCTGCACCGGCCGCCGACCCTCACGTCTGCAGAAAAGGGTGCCCTCAGGTCTGCGCCCACAGCGTCTCTAACGCATCCGAGTCTCCCGGCCACCAGGCTGCTTTCCCCGTCCAGAGCGGTCCTCTCCGCCGCCAGGAGGCCTCCCGGCCAGAGGGACGGTGGGGGTGGGAGGGGAAAGCACCCGGGGAGCCCAGAGGGGAGGACCCACCGTCGGAGCAGAGCGTGGGGCTTGCCCTCAGGAGCAGGGTGAGCCCGAAGAGCTTTCAGCGGCGGGGAGACGGTGGCATGCCGCAGGACTGCAGCTGACCACCTGGGCGGACGTGGGGGGGAGGGAAGTGGACACGGAGAGGGCAGGAGGGAAGTGGACACGGAGGGGCAGGAGGGAAGTGGACCCAGAGGGGGCAGGAGGGAAGTGGACACGGAGGGGGCAGGAGGGAAGTGGACACGGAGGGGCAGGAGGGAAGTGGACACGGAGGGGCAGGAGGGAAGTGGACACAGAGGAGGCAGGAGGGCTCCCACAGCAGGCCTGGCAGCTCAGGGCGGCCGGACACGCCCAGGGCACAGTGTCCGATGGGAGGATGGACGACGCCCAGTTCGGAGGTGGGAGTCCGGGGACAGTCACGGGCTGGGTGGGGCAGCTGAGAGGTGAGAGGGGCTACGGACAGACGGTGAGGCTCTGGGCTCTCCACTTCTCGGTGCCACAAGAGAAGTCGGGGCTGGGGGGCAACGAGGAGTCGGGTTTCCCGCTCGGGGTGGAGGCGTTTGCGGCGACCCCACGAGGAAAGGCCGAGTGGGCGGTCGCACAGTCAGGGCTGAAGCTCAGCGGAGAGGACATGGGTGGAAACGAGGGCGAGGGGCGCTCGGCTGAGAGGCCGCGGCTGAAACCAGCGGCGGACGAGCTCGCCCCGGGACCGGCCCTCGCAGGAACCAGCACTTCAGGGCTCGCGAGGGAAGGGGCTGCCAGCGGGCTAAAGTGGACGTGCCGGGGCGGGGAGCAGCCCAGGAGAGCGTGGGGCCCACGGCACCGAGGGAGAGGCGGCGTCGAGCGAGGAGGAGGAAGAAGACACAGGCACGTTCCAGAAGCAGCAAAGCAAGGAGAACACATTCGTCGAGACAGTGAGAGCAGGGAGACGCCCCTCCCCAGGGACAAGGGCGGATGCAAACCAGCGTAAGCCTGTGGGAGGCGCCTGCGGAGCTGGGGGGTCGGCCTGGGGCACCAGCGCCCCCTGCGGGGCGGGAGGTGAGGGCCAGGGCACAGAGGCTGGGGCGGGGGCGGGGCACGGGGCGGGGCACGGGGCGGGGGGCGGGGGCGGGGCACGGGGCGGGGGCAGGGGGCGGGGGCGGGGGGCGGGGGCGGGGCACGGGGCGGGGTGCGGACACGGGGGAGTCGCCGCATCTCCGGAAGGCAGTGGAAAAGTCACGGAGCGGAGAAAATACTTGCCTCAATCAGGTTTTTGGCCTTAAAAACGTCTCCGATCTCATACATGATGATGTCATCCTTCGTCCTTCCGAGCCCATCGAAGTGAACGTGCTGGACCACCACCTGGACGGGGCGAGAGGACACGGGCGGCTGAGCGGGGCGGGGCTCGGGGCGCGCATGGGCGGGGCTCGGGGCGGGGCTCGGGGCGCGCAAGGGCGGCAGGCAGAGGGCAGAAGACAGCGTCTGCCGTCACTTCCCAGGGCTTCCTTCCAAGGCCGATACCCACACTGCTTCCTCCCAGCCCGTACTCTGCTCGTTTTTCACACCTTTCCAAATAACCGGTGACTTGAACTTAGCCTCTGCTAGGTCTGTGCTTCCCGTGACAAGGCCGTGAGTGAGGTCTCTGAGCCCAGATGGCCAGGGACCACGTCGGCCCCAGACCCGGCGGCGCAGAGGCCCCTCCCTGCATGCGCCCCCCAGCGTCCCCCCGAGCACGGGCCCCGGCGCGCCGACTGGGGCCCGGCTTCACACCGCGGGCATCCCGCCCGAGACCTCGTGCGGTTGGCACAGCGCGGTGCCGGCTCCGAGCCCCGCCCCGTCCCCTCGCGGGACGGTACACTCTTCAGGAGTGGGGCCGCCGCTCGCTCACCGCCGTCCCCGCAAACGCCGCTCCGCGCAGGGGATGGGCAGAGGTTTGTGTAAGCTGTTCGAGAAAAATGCACCGCCTGCCTGTGGGGCAGGGTCACTCCGAACACGGGGTGCAGCCGCAGACGAAGCCCAGAGTCCTGCCTGCGAGGGGCTCCCGTTTCAGCACAGCCGGGAAAAGGGCAGCGTGTGTAACAAAGTGGGCGGCACCGAGTCACGGGAAAATAACGCCGAGATAACAGGGAGAACCAGGGCAATGTCTAACTCGCAGGTGACTGGAATACCACACAGACAGCATCTTCGTGTAGAATTAGAGAAAACGTGCTTACGTTTCTTCAGCTGTCTTCCATTTTAAAAACAATAAAGTTTAAGAAATGTTTCACTCGCCCTGGCTGGCGTAGCTCAGTGGACTGAGCGCCGGCTGCGAACCAAAGCATCGCAGGTTCGATTCCCGGTCAGGGCACATGCCTGGGGTGTGGGCCAGGTCCCCAGCAACTGTACATTGATGTTTCTCTCTCTTTCTCCTTTCCTTCCCTCTCTAAAAATAAAATAAATAAAACCTTAAAAAAAAGAAATGTCTCACGCAAGAGGCCCTTTCCCTGGGAGCGGGGAGCAGAGTGCCAACCACGGCACCAATGGAGCCAGTCTTTGAAAAGCCTTTTTTAATGACATAAATACAAGGTGTGTTTGTCTGCACTTCCCACATAAACAGTCTAGGGAAAACTACTTGTCTAAAACTAGAAAGTAGTTAAAAACTAGAAACTAAAACAGTTAAAAACCATTTTAACTACGGACACGCTACTTTTCTAAGTCGCCAGCCCTCCAACACAGTTAGTTGGCTACAGGCTCTTCCCACGAAGCCACACTGGGGTCGAGCCCCTCCCCGCCCCCCCCCAGGGGTTAGGGAGGGCATGTCTCCAGTGACAGCCACAGGGTCCGGCAGAAGTCCCGTCTGCTCGAGGGTGGTCGGCAGGGGGACGCCTGATGTGGGTGTCACAACGCGCAGTTTTCATTTGCACAGGGCCCCTAAGAGGTCACGTGGTGTGCTCACTATGGTGTTACAGAAGCCAGGCCTGCAGTTCTGTGATAGCAAAGGGGCACTATTTGTGCCGGGCCCTGTGTCCGGGGCCCTCCAACGGAATACTCACATCTTTGTTTTCGAGGATTTCCTGTTTGGCTTCAGGTTCGACTTCAACAAATTCAGCTTCTTCTCCTAACCCCCCAAACTCAGGCCCACTGGCTGGGAGCGGCTCCAGACTCTGAAAGGGAAGGAGGAACCACAGATGAACGAACTTGTAAGGTACAAAACCCCAGAACCTTGGTCTTCAGCTGGCGCTCCAGAAAACTCCGTACCGCGGCTCCCTCTGGTAAGGGGAAGCGGGTGGGGGTGGGGGCCAAGGGCATCAGCTGCTGTTGAAGCACAAGTCTTATGATGGTGGCAGGGGGTCCTCGGTGCCCAGTGGATTATTAGTAAATAAAACAAAGATGAACTGTCCAGTACTGAAAGGGTCAGGCATGAACCTACAATGACGGTGTCCTGAACTGAGGATTATGGCTAATGTAGTTCTGAACATCTGAGGCCCTCTTGAAAACGAAAATAATATCAAAATAAGACGTCACAAAGACATATATCAGGAAAAGGAAAAAATGCTTTTCTGTTGTTAGAGTTTCTTAATTTTTTGAAACAAAATTGGATACATTTTAGGACAACTAATCACGCAGGCTGGCATCCCAAGTTACCGTAATCCATTGCTCCGGGCCCCGATAGATTTGTTTTGGTTCCGAAAGTCTCGGTCACACTAAGAGCAAACTGCCCATACAATAAACAGGTCAGGAAGAGGTCACATCCTTCGACCTGAACTGCCACCGGCTCAAAGGTACCACAGTGTCTCCTGAACTCGGCCTCCGCGGGCCGTGCCTGTCAGTCCTCTCGGGGAGACACGGTAGTGTGCACAGTATGTGTACAATAGGGTGTTTTACACACGTGCTTGCCCAGCCACAGGGACCCCCTGGCATGGACCTAGAGGTCTCACGTGGCACCGGGTGACTGTGCAGACACGCAGGTTTGGGGGAAACCAGGCTACCTGCTTCTGTGGCGGCCTCCTGCCTCCGCCCACTCTCTTCGGAGAAGCACTTCTGAGCGCAGAGCACCATCAGACCCCCACGGTGTGCAGGGTGAGGGGACCCTGGACCGCGGTCACCTTCCCCCGGGACACCCAACGGCCTCTTGTCAGCACACCCCAGTAACATCTCCAGTCCCTGGAAACGTAGTGACCTGGTGGCACCCTGTCCTCTCTCCCACCCTCGCCCTAAAAGACCCAGACGGTCCTCAGAAGCGCCTACCAGTTAGGATCCAGCTAGACTTCTTCCCAGGGTGCACAAGGAACTCACCGCAAGGCCCACGTGCACCCCCCGGCCCCCACATTCCTGTCTGGGCACACCGTGTGCTCTCTGCGAGAAACAGCTCCCCCCCAAGCGGCTGAGAGGGCCACTTAAATGGCATCTCCTCCGTGCACCGGCCCCGGCTTCTCCGGGTAGAACCAGTCCCTCCCTCCTTCAGAGGGACACCTGGACATCAGGAGCTCTCAACACTCCTTCCTGCTCTGTCGTATTTTTACCTGCCCCGGTGCGTCAGAAGTGCTCAAGTATTTGTGAAATGAGCCACCGGATGGAGTTTTTTCTTCTGCGTTATTTAATAAACGTTGTCCGAGTGCCTGGCGCTCGCTGAGCCTCGGGCTGAGCGCGGGGACGCTGCGGGGACCGGACGGACCGAGTCCCCGCCTCGCAGCCCTCGGGGCGGAAAAGGGAAGACCACGCAAGGCAAAGAGCACACCATGCACTTCATACCCTTCCACTCTCGGGGTGTGACATTTAAAAAACGGAATCGTTACCGTAGTTCTCAAACATATTAACAAATTAAAATAGTAACTTTTCCCTGTACCATTTTATAAGGGTGTTCTGTATTTAAGCTTACATAGTGCAAAAAGTGCACCAAATCTGTGCAAGCTGTGTATGCAGAGTGTGCACTAGGGTTACGAACATACGCACGTATTTGTCCCATGTAATCTGAATGTTAAACACATATGCTCCATCCGGGCACAGTTTATATTCCATGACGTTTTAACAAATCCATCGAGAGCCCTACAATTTCAGAGTATGCAATGAGGCTCACTAAACACCTGCCAGACCCGTTTGCCTTCTTCAATCTGAAACCCAGACTGTAAGAGGTGATGTCTTTACGACGGTACAGTTATGGCAAAGCTCGATGTCCCACATTAACTGTTACTTATCCACCAAATATTAAGAACCTACTATGTGACTAGCACTTACAAGATCCTCATCCTCGTAGAATTTATATTCCAGTGTCCGGAAGAGTAGGCACAGTGTTAAATATTTGGAAAAATAAATTAAAATAAATATCTGGATCTAGCCTCTAACCTTTAAGCTGATCAGCCTACACCAGCCAGTCGAATTTTACTGAGCACCAGGTGCCAGGCGCAGCGCAAAGCAATGTAACTACAGGCATTGGGCGTGAAATAAACTGAGTGAGTTGTGACCAGCATCTTTAAAGTGATATAGACTACAGTCAAATGGAACCTATTTAAAAATTACAGGTATTTGTGTAAATATTGTTTCACATGTGCACGAGGGAACTGGACAGAGAACACAAAATGTTTTCCTACTGTGAGTCTTGACCAGAAAGTCCACATAACACTGGCTACTGGAACAGAAAGACCAAACTAAATTAAAACACTTCTTGTCACATTAATGAAAGCAGCAGCCATCTCAGCATCAAAGGAGCTCAACAGAAGCAGATTTTTTTTTTCCTGTCTCCCTAGCACACGCAACGGTGCCAGCACAGAGCAGCCCACGAGTCAGTATCCCTAGAATAAATGGTTGCTTGCTTTGTTCAAGATGCTACAAAAGATGCAAGCCCAGTAAGATGCAGTTCCTACTTGTAACATCTAGAAACTGAGAATCTAAAAGGGTAAGATAAAAATGGAAACAGATAAAACAGGGCACCGGGGGAAAATGTCAAGGAAGTGAGCGGCACAACCACATGAGCGGAGGTAAGGGGAGGTCTAGCCGGAACTCGGTCCTGGGTTCTAAAAGAGGGGAACATTGTGACAGCTAAAGACGGGAAGCTGTGGGCGGATGATGGAAGAGGGAACGTGGTTCGGCAGTGCCGTCCAGAGTGTGTCGGAAAAGCAGCGGTGTGTCCTTTGAGTGAAAGACCTGTCAAGTCCTGCTCCGGAGCCTCGGCTGAGAAGTCTGGGATACATTTTTTGGAAGACGGTGGACAACGCCTGGGAACTCGGGAGCAGGGCAAGTGAAACCACCCCTGTTGCGGTAGGAGAGTCCTTTTCGGGGCTGGGACTCGGGAGGTCGGAGCTTTGGAACACTCTGAAGCTCCAACACTGCGCCCTTGGACAAAATATTCCTTCTCGGGCTGTCAGTGAAGATGACGACCAAGGAGAACAGTTTGGCAAGCAGTTAGCTCGCGCCACGAACAAAGTAAGTACTTAATACTCATTGTCTTCCGATTCTCGCAACAGGCTGGTGAGTAGGCACTACTACCGCCTCCGCTTGAAAAGGCGGCACTAGGGCACCGGGAGGCTCCGTCTTGGACGGTAGCCTGTAGAAAGGGCTTCTAGATGGGTCTGGGTTGCATGGCTTCAAACGACACCTGCGGCTCCAGGAGGTTAGCGTGACTCCGGCAGCGGCTGATTGGGAGACTAGAAAAAGCGACCGGCGAGGAGACGCCTGAAACCGCTGTAGAAGCCAACGCAGAGAAGTCAAGCCACGGGGAGGAAAGCTTAACACTCTGCTCCAGGACATCACGGGAACTTCGCTACTCCTCTCAGGGCCACTGCCTCGCTGAGTGACCTTGGGCAAGTCAGGCCCCTTCTCCGAGTATCGGTTTCCTGCTCGGAGGTGTGCGGGACGCTCCGGAGGCGTCTTTACCGCCGCCGCGCCCCGCGCCCTGCGCCCTCGGGCCCCCCTGGCCAGGGGATCCCTGGGCGCAGCCGCGAGAGCGTCGCCACGCGGTGCCCTCCCAGAGGTCACACAGCCCGCTGGGCCTCTTACCCGGGCGTGCACCGTCCCCATGTTTCCCTCTGCGACCGCCGCCTCGCTGTACCGCCCGCGTCCAACCCAGGATCGGCTGGTGAGGGCAGAGGGCGGGGCCGCGGTGGCGGAGCTACCGGTCAGCGCGCCACCTACTAGCTGCCGGACGCGGCGCGCTGGGGGCGGCCATGATGTCCCTCTTTAGCCCCGCCCCCTGGCTCACAGCGCTTTAGTTCATTGGCTCTTTCAGAGCCTGTAACCCGGATGTTCTTGTGGACGCCGGGCAGCCCTGAAACGAACGCAGAGCGCCCAGTGGTGCTGCTGACAGAGCACAGTGCTGCGTGGGTCTCCGCTAGTGGCAGGTGTAGGGAGTTGCCTCCGGGACGGAGCGCACCATCTTCACCCAGGTGTCGCCCTTAGTCCCCCTGGCACCCCGGCCCCGTGGGTGGTGTGTTGTCCCCACGCTCATGCGAAGCGCCGAGGCTCCCCACACCCCGCATGCAGCCCTGGCCTCACCCAGCGTCGGAGCAGCACGAATCCGACTGCCGCCCTGGGCCCCTCCTGCTGGCCACACGGACCTTTCCAAGTCACTGACACTCCCTAGGGCTCAGTGTCTTTGTCAAAAGGAAGGTGATGGCCGCATCTGCTTCACAGGGTTGGATTATGGGCTCGCGCGTCAGAGACGGGGTGTAAAAGCGCCCGGCATGGTGCAGGGCACGCAGCGAGCAATGGGTAGTGACCATCATTCGTCCAGCTGCAACCAGCAAATAGTAGAGGGTCATCCCAGGGTTCAGATGGGGCCATTCACACTGAAGAACAAGAGGGCCTTGGGGCCTCATTTTTTTTAAAAAAGATTTTATTTATTTTTAGGGAGAGGGGAAGTGAGGGAAATAAACATCAGTCTTGTCTGAGCCCTAACTGGGACCAAACTTGCAGCCCAGGCAGGTGCCCTGACTGGGAATCAACTGGCGACCTTTGGCTTTGTGGGATGACACCCAACCAACTGAGCCACACCGGCCAGGGCTTGGGGTCATTTTCGTGGTGGAAACAGCCCTACCAAAAAAAAAACAACCCCACACTGTATCGTGATAAATGATAGTCACACGTTATGAAAAGTGCACGGAACGAAGGAAAGGAGCCAGAGAGAGCAAGAAGAGGGATTTTCAGTGTTAGGTGGACTCATCTGGCCACTCCCTTCCGATAACAATGTCATTCCTTTCTTTCCCCCTTGCACCCCGTCCCAGAGATCCTGACACCCTTTCCGTTTAAACCGCAGCGCCTGCAAACAAATGAACAAAACAGAAGCCGACGCACAGATACAGAGAATGGACTGCTGGTTGCCAAAGGGGAGGGGGTGGGTGAACGGGTGGGAAAATAAAAACACTTGAAAAGAAACAGGCTGATGCCACGATCCACCCTCTGGACTCTGAGCTTTATTATTTATTTACTTATGAGAGATGGGGGGAGGGAGGGAGGGAGGAAGAGGGAGGGAAACACGGATCTGGGCCCAAACCCACAACCTAGCAGGTGCCCCACCGGGAATCGAACCAGCGACCTTCCCCTTTGTGGGAGAACATCCGGCTGAGCCACATCGGTCAGGGCTGGACTGATGTGGTTTGATTGATGTGGGGTCCGTTGTCGGTAGTGGGAGAGGCTTCGGGGAACTTACAAAGTTTTCCCAGGGGAAGGTTTTCCCACTCTGCTCTAGAGCGGAGTTCCACACCCTTGAAAAAGACAGCAGACACTTAAGCCTCTAGCATCCCTGGGGTAAATAGTCCAAGTGCACATGTCCTGTTTGCCCGGAAAGAGGCAGAAGTCGGCACCTGCCAGACCCCTCACGGGCTGACCTACCTGTCTCCCCAGCCGGACCATCAGCCCCGAAGACAGAGTCTGGTCTGTCTGGCTCAGTCCCGGAGCGCAGAGGCCAGCACAGGGCCTGGCGCGGTTCAGGGATCAGTGAAGTGCCAAGCAGCTCCTCCCCCACTCCAGCCTTGGGCGGACAGCCTCGGCTCTGGGCAGGTGCTGCCCGTCCACAGAGACGGGCTTGAGAGCTGGGAGGGGCCCCGGGAAGGAGAGCAAAGGAGACGGGTGACCCCACCACTGCCGCACCAGGCCCTCCAAGATGCGTGCCGGCCCACCCTGCCTGATGCAAGGCCGTACTCCTGGTGCTCAGTGCAGTGCTGGCCCAGCGCATCGTCCGTGGGGAACTGAGGTTGGCACGGGCCTCCCTCCACCCTGGCCCCCGTGCTTTTGCTCCTGTCGCTCCTTCTGCGGAGGACGCCTTTCTGTGGCCCTCTGCCCAGGAGCGCCCATGTAGCCCTCGAGGCTCAGCCCACACCTGGCCTTGCCGCCCAAGACAGTCACCTGCCCATCCCCCAGCAGTGCCTCTCGCAGTGTCCTGGGGTCATGCCAGAGCCCTTCCAGGGTGATTGTTCAAGATGTGCTTTCCTGGGCCTCAGCCCTGACCGGCTGGGTCAGAATCTCTGGACCGCAGAACCTGGAAACCTGCATTTTGAAGAAGTATGTGAGGTCGCTCTTTTGCCCACATGGTTTAAGAACTCCTCGTGGGAACATTCTTTGTTTCTGTGTCTTTCCTCACCACTAGTGTCAAACGCCTTTGAAACAGATCTGCTAACGTGCCCACGGGGAACCCGGTCAGAAATCTTAGAAGAGACGCAGAACAGCCAGGGAGGCGGGGGAGGTGGGGGAGGTGGGGGAGGCAGGGCGCAGGCCAGAAGTGGGGGACTAGGATGCAGGTGCACACGGGGCAGGCAGGACAGCCCCCCACGGAGGGAGGGAGGTGTGGGGGGCCAGGGGATGGGGACTCCTGGAGGGTCTGGGCGGGTGTCCAGGAGGGGCACGTGCCGGCCGCCTGGCCTGGCGGGCCGTCTGGGAAGCCAGGTGGCCGACCTCAGCTGGGGGCAGGAAGAGCAACACTGTGGCTCCTCGGGGAAACTGGAGAGTCGAGGGAAGGCATTTTAAATATCACATTTATTATGCATTCTTTTTCACTTTGTTTACCTTCTAATCCTCGCCCAAGGATAAGTTTTTTATCAATTTTAGAAAGAGAGGAAAGGAGAGAGAAACTTTGACCAGCTGCCTCCCACATGTGCCCCAAACCCACAGCCCAGGCACGTGCCCTGAGTGGGAATCGAACCCACAACCTTTTGGTGTATGGGACGATGCGCCAACAAATGAGCCCGCCAGCCAGGGGTTATTACAAGTTCTTTTCAGGTGGAAGTAATCATATGTTCACACGGAAGTTCGGAAAGCCCATAGAAGCACAGCAGATAAAACCTGATAGCATCACATGATAGCATCCCAAGTAGCAGCATGACGATGACCGGGGACAGCATCTGCGTCTGCGTCCTTTCAGTCGTCTTCCTGTCACACACGCACACACACCCACCCACTTCGTTCCACCGAGGCCCGGCCCGCGCCCCGCCCCGCCCCGCCCCGGGCTATTCCAGCTGCTCGCCGAGTCAGGACCGCTGCTGCCCCGCACCAACTGGGCTGCAGGCAGAAACGCACGGCGAGGAGAGCCAGGGTCCCCCCTGACCAGAGGGGAGGGCCTTGAGGATGTCTTCATCTGCAGGAGAGAAACCCCCGCAGCGCTGGCGCTGGCGAGGTGAGGGCCCGCGGGCGTGGGCGGGGTGGTCATCAGGCACCCGTCCGTGGTGGCCGGGGGCTCGGCCGTTTCCAAGTGAGGACTGCACTTCCTCGCCTGGGAGCCTCCTCACAGGTTTTCTAAACCACGCTCGCTGCGGGGAGGTTGAGTGATTTCAGAAAGCATAAAAAAACTGAGCTTCGTACAGAGACAGCCGCTGAGTGCATTTCTGTCCGGCTGGCGACCACCAAACGCGCGTGTCTGCCTGGAACGCACGCCGGGCACCGGGAAAAACGCCGCTCAAGTGCGCTCGCGCCGTGGCTCCCACATGGGAAAGCTGACTGGGGGACTCGAGGCAGGGGGAGGCGTGCGGTGGGTTCCAAGGAGCGAGGGTGGGTGCCGGGCGGGGCCTCCCCCACCTCCAGACCAGCTCAGCGAGGGGACAGAGAGCCTTGTTCGGGGGGCCGGGTGGCGGGGAGAGCCCACCCCTCCCCAGCTCTTGCCTCGCTCCGGGGCGAGTGCGGCCAGGACCAGAGCCCGGCTGTTCACTGGCCCAGGACCCATGGCCGGGGTGGCGGGGGGGTGGCCCAGGGAGCCCCGCAGGGCGGCCTCTGTGCCGGGCAACCACCCTGCAACGCCCCAAGTCACCCCACCTTTCAGGAGTTCACGGCGCATCACGGCGCCGGAGGACCGGCTCCCGGGAGGCCTCCCCAGAGCCGTGCTCCCGGTCCGAGGGTCCGTCTGCGCGAGAAAGCGCCTCGTCTGAACTTGCTGGTTCTCCGCCTCCAGGACACTAACACGATGCAGGGGAGGGTGCAGCCTTCTGTCCCAGCATATGGGACTTTGAACTCACACTGATATTCTTTTCGTAACACTCAAATGTGTAAGGTCCTGTGCTCGCCAACAGATTGCCACACCTGGGAGTCGGGGTGCCCCGGACTCTTGCTTGCCTCCGTGAAGGCTGGGGCTGGGGCTGGGGCTGGGGCTGGGGGTGGGAGTAGGGAGGCAGTGGGAAGGAAAGGAAAGCAGACCAGAGGCGCAGGGGAAAATCAGCCAAGTTCAAGTCGAGGGCACCAGCGGAAAGGTGGCCCAGCCTGTTGCGTCCGGCTCCTGCCTGGGGGACCGGGGTGGACTGTCTTGTGCTTTGTGCCCTGGATTTTTTTGGTCAGGCTTAGCCTCTCACTGATTCACACAATGCACCATTCCACAGATAACGAGATTCCCTTACACTTTATACAAAACTCTTTCACAAATTCAGGTTGGGTCCAAAAGGTGCTCTAAAATGTAAACAAGTTACCGCCATCTTTCATGGCCCCCGACCGCAGGGGGCCCCCCTTGAAGAAGGAAGGGAGGCACACGCCTCTCCCCCCGCCAGCCCCCGGGACTGCACAAAGGGCAGCCGCGCCGCTGCCTCAAGGGCCCTCGGCCACACCCCTGCCATCCTCGGAACCTCGCTCTGGGACAGCGCGGGGCCACAGGACAAGGACGGTGGCGGACCCTCCACCCTGAGGGTCCTTTCCCGGCCAGCGGGGCTGACGGACTCGGGCGCTGCGGTACTGGAGTGCCTTAACCCCTGGACCCCCACGCCGACCAGAACCAGCTTCCTGGCGTGTCCATGGCCTCTGGTTTCAGTCAACTGTAAATGCAGCCCTGAGGCCGGATTCCATCTGTCACAGACACGGGACTTGAACAGCAGAAAGCTGCATGAAGGAGGAAAAGGTCTAGCCCCCACCCACCCCCCGCTGCAAAAACGTCCTAGACTTGCCTCCTGGAATAACTCAAAAACTCAGGCTTCCCCCAAGGTCCCTGCGGTCATTCCCATGCAAACCGGGTCCCACCGCCCGTACCCGAAACCCTTCTACACCTGCCAACAGCAGTAACCACTGAGACCCCTCTCCCAAGCACCCACCACCCATCCGCACTGGGCCGGGGGCCCCCGGAGCCTCACGGAAACCCAGTGAGGAGTGCCCCAGGGGAACAGGCGAGAGGGCCGGGCCCGCGATTTCCAGGAGGGGCTCCAACCCTCGTGACCGCCACCAGGCCCTCCTTGTTCCGGACCAGCTGCAGAGTCCGGAGCGGCGGGGTCAGCGGCCACGTCACGATGCGAGCCGCAGGGTGCCACCACGAGCCCGGGACTCGGCCGGTCTGAGGTCGGAAGGGAGTCAGCATGAGCGTGACACCCGCCAGGCTTCCGGAAGCGCTGCCTAGCACCCTGCCCCGAGCTACAGGTGCCGGCACCCGGGGCGGCTTCCCGGAGGCGGAGGCGCAGCAGGGCCGCCTGACACCCCTGCCCACGCCAGCCCCCTCGGCCCCTCTCGGCTCTCCCCCCCTAACCGGGTGTTCCCATCCCCGCTCTGAGTCTGCAGCCCCCTATGTGCACGGGTCTTGCTCAGCTTCCAGCAGATGCTGACGGACTCAGCAGCCCCACGTGTGACAGGGCCCCCTGCGCTGCGGGCTAGGCTCCTCGTCACCTGCCACCCATCGGACACTCAACGGTGTTTCCAGAACGGTACCCGCAGCCAGACCAGACGAGAGGGGTGTTCGCTGGATCCGGGCAGACGGGCTACCTGCAGGCCGGGAACAGGCGCGAAGTCACCCGGGAACAAGCCTGGCCGGCCAGGGACTGCAGCCACTGGACGTCGTCCGGGGCATCAGGAAGCCACGTCACCAGCCTGTGGGACCGAGCCCCCCCCCATACACACAGGTCGTCAGTGGGAAGGCCGGCTCACACAAGAGCCGCGCACAACCCCAGCGAAATGCAGCCGGCCCACCATGACACCCCTGGTCCGGGCACACCGCCGGAGTCCCCTCGGACCCCAACCTGACACATTCCCGGAAAGTGGGCTGGGGGCAAGCCGGCTTCCTCCCCAGCCCCTGAGTGAGGCCGCCTTTCGCTGGGGAAGCTCAGGGGAGGAACACAGAAGTCAAAGGAGGAGGCTGCGGTTCCCAGGTTTCTGCCTGTCTGTGGGGCTCGTGTGCTGGTCTGGAGTCTGGAGTTCGGACGCCACCCCCCGACCCAGCCCGAGCCTGGCCGCGCACGTGTCCAGCAGAGGGAGCCGCTGCAGAGGCCTGACCGCTGCCCCCAACCCCGATGGACTCCCTGCCCCCAAGACACAGAGAGGACCCCACGCCTGGGCGTTGGTAAGCCCCTGAACCTGAGGCCAGGGCAAGGCCGCGTGGGCACAGGGGCCCAATTCTGTAGGGCGGGGGAGGGGCCTGAGGACGGACTGAAGGACACACTCGGTGAACTCGCCAGAAAGAAAGCAGACGCCCCAGTTAGCGTGAAGAAGGCCGAGGAAAACAGATGCCCAGGACTCCCGCGTGGGCCCCTGTTGGCCTCTCGTCCTTCCCGACCGTGAGTGAAGTCCCCACACGGAAGGGCAGCCCTGTGGGAAGGGGTGGCCCCACGGCAGCCGGGAGAAAAGAGGCGCTGCACAGGGCCCCACCCGAAAGGCGCCCCCCCCGGGGACGGTCCCCAGGGACCGTGACCTCGACCCCGCCGCCCCAGGGGTCGGGCCCCAGGCTCAGGGCCCTGCGGACACTCTCACTCAACCCCGTGACAGACACGCGAAGCCCCAAGGCCCCCCCTCACCTGTGGACCGCAGCGACGGCGGACTGCACGGGCAGCGTGCAGGGCAGCACCGCGTAGGTCAGGGCCCTTACCGGCAGGGAGCTGCAGATCTTGCTCAGGTAGCCGCCTCTGGCTTTAACCATCTTGCTCAGCACTGGGGGGCACACAGTTGGGGAGCACGTCACGCACCAGAGCCAAATCCAAGCCGCCCACCCAGGCGGTGCTCAGAGGTTCCGCCCGGCACACGGGTTCCGGCGGCCGAGGAATCGGAATCCTTGGCCAATGCGGCCAAGCGGGGGACGCAGCCGCAGGGCCCCGGGCTGGCCGCGGGCACAGATCTCCCCAGGAACGGCTCTCTTCCCGGGGGCGGCTACTCCGGGAGGAGACCGCCGACTGCTCCAGCAGCCCACCGGCCGCCTGCAGCCGGATTCCGTCTCCTCCGCCTGGACCCCCACCTTCCGCTTCCCTCTGAGGCGACCTCATGACGCCTCAAATCGGAAGGGGCCCCTAGGGCCAGAGCGCCTCTGCAGCCAGGAGGCCATCCCGGTCATCTCCCAATGCCCACAGGAAGCCGCTCTGTGCACACACGTGTCCTCTAACCTTTGACCCCAGGGTCAAACGGACTGCCTCGTTCAAAGGAAAGTCCCAAACTGTTGGTTTGGGGGAGGGGGGTGATCAGGAGAGGCTCCTTGAGAAAGGAGGCTTTGAGATGGGTGCCCAGGCAGAGAGCGGGGTTCTCAAAGAAGGGGCCCACCCTCGGGGCCCCCCGAAATCCAGTGTGCCCGGACCCCAGGCGCTGAGAGCATGCCCAGTCCATTCAACACGGGCTCAGCTGGCGTCTGTTCTGTTCTGGCCATGCCCGCGGGGGTAAAGGGAGACTGGGCAAGGTGCCTGGGCGTGGGGAGGCGGGGCCCGAGGGTGGCACCACCTTCCCCCTCGAACCCACAGCAGAAGACCAGCCCCGGCTGCCCCCCCGCCCCGAGGCAGCCCACCCCCCTCCCACTCCCGGAGGCGGCACCTTCGGTGAGCTCGGGCGACACTGTCTGCAGGACGCCCTGGTCCCAGGGCTGCAGGCTGTGGCACAGGTGGTTCAGCAGCTCGTCCCCCTCTGGCCTCGTCCGCCAGCCAGCTCCCTCCCAGGGGGCCTCCAGGCCCCTGGTGTCCCGGGGCCCCTCGACAACCTCCAGCTCTTCCGGGGACAGACTTGGGCACCGAGGCAGGGGCCTGTCGCCAAGGCCTGCCGCAGACACAGAAGACGGACCGTCAGGCGACCCTGAGCAGCCGGGGTCTTTCCTCACCCACCCTCCCAGCGAAGGACGGAGGAGGCCAGCGGCCCCCGGGAGCGGCAGGCCCGGCGCCGGCTCGGTGCCCGGCGCGGGTGGGTGGGGGCGGGCTGTCGTAACAGGGGGAAAAAAGAACGCGGGGCTTCAGAGCCACAGCGATGTGTGTTGGGCTCCCACCTGACCCCTCTCCCGCTGTGGGGGCTCCACGGCCGCCTGTGGGCTCGTGAGTGGAAAGAGGAGGATGGGACGGATCTGCGGTGACTGGCCTCACACCGCTGAGCGGGCCCGCGCCCCAGGCCCTGAGGGAGGACCTCCGGCTGGGCCTGGCAGCGGCCACTCGGTGGCTGCCATGGCGTCATCCCTGCTTCTCGGCCAAGGCGTCAGGAGCGCAGACCGTGAAGCCACAGAGCCCGTCTGTGCAGGGCGGGATTTGAACTCAGGCCCAGCACTTCCGTCACACGACACTCACAATGGCTCCAGGCGAGGGAGTTGGGGCGGGCACCGCCCTGGGTGTCGGGACTCCGGCCCCTGGACCGGGCGCGCAGGGAGGCAGGCAGAGGTCCCTGGCTGCCCGGCCTCACCCTCGGCGGCTTCCAGCCTCGGGCTGTAAAGACCAGGCCCTGTCCCAGACACCTGCACTGGGCTCCCCAGGTCGCCCCTCCGTTAGTGCTCCCTCTAGATCTTCAGGGGGCCTCTCCCCGTCCAGGCCAGCTCTCCGCCCGGCATCCTGCCACGGACGCGCCTGCGCTCCTGCCCACGGGCTGCCCACCGCTGACCGTTCACTGCAGTGGCCCTAGCGCACGGTGTCCCTGGCACACCTACAAGGTGCACAGTAAGCGGTTTCTGAGTAGGTGACACGTGTGTGTCCTTTGAACCAGTGTCCTAAGTCTTGGCCAAAGGCTGACTGAGAGGACCAACAAGGGGGCCACTGTCAGCGCCGAAGAGAAACAGCTCCGGACACGCCGGACACCCGGTCCCACTCGGGGGTCTCCAGAGCTCGGCCCCTGCAGCCCGGACGCGCCAGGATGGCCCCAGGTGGCATCCGGTCCCGGAAAGGACAGTGCGCCAGTGGGCGTCACCCACACCTGGCTGGAGACAGCGCTTCTCCTTGCTCTCCCTGGGGCCCAGACCCAGAAGCCCTGTCCGAAGCCCTGGAGAAACTCAGCCGACGGCCTCCGGACGGGTGGCGGGGGAGAAGGACGGCGCCCTGGAGCCGTGACACCCCAGGTTCGCACCCCAGCTCTGCCCCGCAGGGAGTGGGCTGGGGCCCCGGCTCCCCTCTCCCAGCCTGTTTCCTGCAACTGAGTGAGCTGGCGTGACAGGCGGCGAAGGCCGGGGCAGCCCCCTCAGGGTCCCCACGGCCGCTGGCAAAGGCCACTAGATGGGCTGGTCTGTTCCCCGCCCACACGCACCGTTTTTTTCCAAGAACCTGGCCGCGTCCAAGTACCCCTGCAGGTAGGTATCCCGCAGCACCTGGAAGGCAAGCCGCACGGTTAGCCGCAGGGCGGGCGCCACTCAGCGCCCCGCCCGTGAGCTGGTGAGCTGGAGCCTCTGCAGCCGCAGCGAGGCCGGACAAGGGGCCACGCTCCAGGTGACAGCAGTGCCCCTAGCCTGAGGGACTCGGCCCAAACCACAGCCCTCCCGGGAGGCAGTGCTGGCACCCCAGCATGACAGGGGCCCTCCCGGTTTCCCCGGGACAGTAACAGCTTTCTCCTCCACGCGCCCGCGCTCACGCCACGCCATCAACCCGCCGGGGCGAGGTGCGTGCACACCCTGGGCCCCTTTGTCCCTGATCACCGCCGAGTGCCTGCAGCCCGAGCAAATCCTCACTGTCGGGGGGCTCGGGTGTGCAGGGCGACCGGCAGATGCAGACACTGTGCGGTTCGTGGCCTCGGCCACAGAGAAGGGTCACCTGGGTGACGCCAGCCGCCCCGCTGCCCAGGCGGCACCCGGCCTGCGGCCGTCCCCAGGGTCCGCGGGGGCTGGTTCCAGGACCCCTCATACGTGTGCGGTCTCTTACACGAGACGGTGTACGGTTTGCACAGAACCTGTATTTGCACACAGGCTACAGGGCACACCACTTCATTCCCACGGATGCAGCATAGGGCTCGTTCTGTGAGGGGTGAATTCAAATTTTGTGTTTTGGGACTTTCTGGGATTTTTTTTTTAAGAGAGAGGAAAAAAGGAGGGAGAAAGAGAGGGAGAGAAACATTGATACAGGTTGGCTCTCATATTTCCCCCGACTGGGACCGAACTTGCGACCCAGGCATGTGATGTCCCTTGACTGGGAATTGAACCCACAACCTTTCAGTTTGCAGGGCGACACCCAACCAAATGGTCAGGGCAGGGATTTTTAAAAATGTATATATTTTTGAGCCCTGGCTGGCGTGGCTCAGTGGATTGAGCACCAGCCTGTGAACCAAAGGGTCGCCAGTTGGATTCCCAGTCAGGGCACGCGCCTGGGTTGTGGGCAAGGCCGTGTCCCCAAGTGGGGGGGTGCGTGAGAGGCAACCATACATCGATGTTTCTCTCCCTCTGTTTCTCCCTCCTTTCCCCCTCTCTAAAAATAAATAAATAAAATATTTTTTAAATAAAATAAATAAGTAAAGGTATTTTTGACGTGTGCTTGGTGGAACCCGTGGATGCTTGGATCCCCAGGGGCCAAAGCCACGGGTGGGTGGCGGCGTCTGACCGCAGCCCCTGGAAGTGGGACCCGAGGGGCAGCACGGCGCAGGTGTCCCCAGGGGATCCCGATGGCCCGAGGCGGGCAGGGCTGGCCTTCCGGGACCAGGGATTCTTCTCCGAGTCCCTGTCCAATGAGGGTTTTGCATTTGTTCGTCTGCTTGGAGAACCACGGGGTGGGGGGGGTCTCCAGGCAAACGGGAGCAAAGAGCTGCACCCCCAGAACACACAGGCCCGCACTCACCTTGAGGTCAGGGGGGCACAGCATTTCACAAACCAGCCGGCAGTTCCGCAGGCAGAAGTGGAAGTTAAGCTTGGACACTTCCACATGGAAGAAGTTCGTGGACTTGGCCTTGGGGCAGATGTCGCACTCCCCATAGAAGGGGGACACGGTGATGGTTGTCTTGGTATCAAAGAAGGGCACGCTGTTAGTGAATCCTCCATCCACGTACCTCTGTCGAGGGGGGAGAAAAAGAACACCGGTCAGAAGCCCGCGGCCGGGGTTCCTGCGTTCGAGATTATGGGCAGAGGCCTCTCGGCGCTGCAGGCTGCCCGGGGGAGGGCCAGGCCGGGGAGCCCTGTTCGCCGTCGGAAAGACCGCACACCCGGCCAGGAGGCAGCTGGAGGCTGATTCAGGCCCACGGCGTTGCGGCCGCGTCCCGAGCCCAGGCGGGCGCGCAGGGGCGTGCCCGCGCATTTGCACCAAGAGGCCATACCAGACCAGGTCACGGCGTGCACTAGGGACAGTGTGAGGCAGACCCTGTCCCAGAGGGGACAGCAAGGGTCCACTCCAAGCCCCCTGCCGCTGGGGACGTCTCGGGCAAGGTAACCTGTGAGCTCGTCTCTCCCCACGCCGCGAGGATGGGCGCCACGGCCGCGAGGAGGCGAGGCCAAAATGCAACCGTGAGGCTGGGAGCTGATGGGCCTCAGATAACACCCCCTCACCCCGAGACCGGCGGGCCCAGTCGGCCGCTAGCAAACCAGGACCGGGAGTACACTCTCAGTGCCACAACCTCAACTGTGCCCAGCCGTGGCCAGAGGCCCCGGGCGGGGAGTGGGGGTGGGGAACCAAGTCATCCTGGCTGGTAACTGCTGCCCTGGAAGGGGGCTGCCAGCGCGCCCAGCCCAGGCCAGCGAGCCGCCCAGCACGCAGGGAACACCCTCCCCCCACCCTCGCTCCTGTTCCTCTGCCCGTGCAGGGCTCAGAATGGCCTCGAGGGCTTGCACCTTTGTTGAATGAAACCAAACAGTAGCCCTGACGTCCGCTTCTGCCCCGAGCAGAAAAGGTCCGTCCCGGAGAGGATAGAAACTGCCAGCCTCTCAGGATAAAGCTCTACCTTAAGCAAGCTGCCCATTCTTAACCGTCTTACACTTGACCTAGGCCACTGGGCACCCATCCTCAGCGCTGCTGTGAAGGTTCAGTGAGCTGGCGTAGCTCACAGATAACCAGATAACGGAGTCTCGGTGAACTAGTTCTTTGCGGGGGCGGGGGCGGGGGCGGGGGGCACGGCGCGGGGCAGCCACGGCCCCCCTCTGTCCGGAGGCTGAGCAGCAGCAGAAGGCTCCGCGTTCGAGGTACGAGGGTGCTTGCGGGCAGCACCGTGTGGGCCGGAGCCACCGACCCGGGCGGGGGAGAGGCAGACTCACCTCGCCTCTGAAGGAGGGAGGCATTATGGCCGAGACGAAAGGGATGAAGCAGGAACAAAGCACGGCCTGTGGAGACAAGACAAAAGGGAGGGAAGCCACAGGCCGGAGCCGCTTGGCCTCCTTCTTTGCCGGGGGGCTTTCAGCAGCCCGCTCTGGCCGGGCGGGCCAGGCGGGAGCCTGAAGCGCCCTCTCCGCACGGAGCGGGCCGACCACACGGTGCAGTTCGTATCTCGGACCTAAGCGTGAACACCTTGGCGACACTGTGTGCACCTCGGCCTCCTGTCCCTGCTCCCCACGAGTCAAGACGGGCCATCGCAGACGGGACCGAGAGTGGTTAACTCGCTGACCGGCCAGGAGGGGACAGTCATAATGAGCTCCCAGGGCATGCTGCTGCGTGGCCAGGACCACGCTTCAGGCGGCACCGGGCTGAAGGGCATGGAGCAGGACACGACCCTGGGTCACCCGCCGAGAGCCTGGACTCCCGGGGGAGGGGGGCGGGCAGGTGCCGGCCGCTGAGGGAGAGCTGCCTCGGGTAAGGCTCCGTGGAAGGTGCCAGCGGCTGTGAGGTGCTGCTGGTTGCATGGCACAGGCCGCCCCCCAGACGGACACGTGTGAGGTGAAAGGCTGTCCACTAGCTCTCCTAAGAGGCAGCAGCCGAATTAAATGGCATTTTGATATTGTGAACAATCTCCTCTGTGCTCTGAGGCACACGAGATGGGGTCCCCGCCTGTTGCGGCTTCAGTGATGGTGTTCCCACTAAAGGAACACACATCGCATGGAGGAGGGACACCGTGGGACAGGGTCTGCAGAAGAGGCGGCCGAGAGCCAGTCTGGAAGGCTGGGGGGCCACTGATCCTGCCCCGGGACCCACCGGGGTCACACACGCTGCAGACCAGGCCCCTGGCAGCACCCGGGTTCGGGTGCCGGCGGTGCAGGTGCTCCTGCATCGCGAGGAGCAGGGCAGGTGGCCCGTGACAGCTTTCTCCGTGTGGCTTCCCAGGTCAGATGGCCCTTGTTCCTCGACAGCGCCCAGAGAGGCCCGGTGCTTACATCCACGACCTCCTCTTTGGACTGGAAATCGGACACCAGGACGTTTTCCCAGTCGGACACGCGGGTGAGCGAGAGGCCGACTTTGCCGGAGATGAGCTCGTGCACGTTGGCCGGGAGGTGCCGGTGGAGGGCCTCCCGGAAGAACTCGTTCATGCTGAAGCACGGCTGGAGGATGCCGAGGCTCTGGCTTCTGACCTTCAGGACGAGGTCCGTGAGGACCTGCAGGACCTGGGCTGTGGGGCGGGAGACAAACACGGAGGGGTGTGCCACCCAGGAGCTGGGGCTCGTGTGCGGCGAGACCAGAAACCACCAGCAGGGGGAGCGCTCGCGTGTGCCCACAGAGCCCTCACCACGGGCTCTGTCCAGACTGAGATGTTCAAAAGAAACGCAGGATTTCAAAGGCTTAGTTAAAAAAAAAAAAAAAGTAGCCCTGGCTGGCATAGCTCAGTGGACTGAGCGCAGGCTGGGAACCAAAGTGTCCCAGGTTCGATTCCCAGCCTGGGTACATTCCTGGGGTGCAGGCCATAGCCCCCAGCAACTGCACATTGATATCTCTCTCTCTCTCTCTCTCCCCCCCCAACTCCCTCCCTTCCCTCCCTAAAAAATAAATAAATAAAAAATATTTTAAAAATTTAAAAAAAAAGAAAGAAAGTAGAAGAAACCTTTAAAAAAAAAGTAAAAGATATCAATACTGATCAGATGGGAAAAATGATACTGTTTGGACTATATTGGGATCAACAAAATTAATTTCATTCCTGGCTTTTAAGTACTTTTTTTTTTTTGCATCCTGCTAACCGGGAAGGTAAAATGACATCTGTGCCTTGTGCCGTATTTCGATTGGCAAGCCTGCTCGGGCCCTGGCTGCTGCAAGGAGCCTCCGGAGGCCCAGGGGCGCTCCTCTCACCCCAGCCCCTCAGGAAGCCAGCCCCGGGGGAGTCCTCGGCAAGGTGGGCCCAGGGCTTCGGGGAGCGGAGAACACAGCCAGCTGGCACCTCTCACTGGCCGAGTGGCCTCCGTGGGTCACTTTGCGGTCTCTCGGTCTCAGGCTGTGCGTTGTGAATGTGGGACAGCGTTTCCCTACCTTTTGGAGATAGAGGGTTAGATTCACCACAACCCGTAAGGCGTTTGACTCAGAGGAGGCACCTAATACGTAGTTACACGTAACCTTTAACCTCTACCACCAGAATGACCACACTGTCTAGTGGGCACGGGGCACATTCACTCTCCCTTTGACCCCACTCCCGGGCCTCGCCCCCTCTGGCTGGCCAGCATGGCCCTGGCATGCAGGACTACCCGTCCCAGCCCACGGCCTAGCCAGTCACGAGTCCTGGGATGCACAAGGCCCGACACGTGCCAGGCCGTCCTGACCGGCCGAAGACCTCATGCCAGCCCTCTCCACGGAGCCCAGGCAGCAAGAGCTGGCAGCTGCCAGCCCTCCTGGCAGCTCGGCCCTGGGTGAGACGCGCTCTCGGAAGCTCTGCCCACGTTGCAGCCCCCGGGGCAGGGTGGGGGGAGGCCCCTTGGAGGTCCCTACATGAGGCAGGAGGTTGGGGAAGGAATCTGGGGGACAGCTCCAACAGAAAACCCCAGACCCGCTTTCCAGGGGCTTGGTGGTCCTCGACCTTGCCCCAGGCCGCAGGGCAGTGCCCCAAGAGGCACCTGTACTCTGCCATCAGGGAGCCCTGCCCCGGAGTCAGCACGCCTCCTGTCCTGGGGTCGGCGTGCCCGAAGCTGGTCCCGGTGAAAGGTTCAACTCCGTAGGTGTCCACAGGTCACCTTGGAATACAAGGGCTAGCCATGGGGCTGACCGAGTCCTTCCTGAGGTCACATTCCTGCCCTTTGCTCCTCTGGCCCCTGGACGGGGAAAGCCGTCAGGGTGGCCTTGCTGCCAACTCCCACCTCCCAGTCAGCCCCGGGGCCGCTCCATTGGCAGCACCGTGCCTACCGGCAGGAGACTCCCGGGCACCAACCAGGAGTGAGGTCAGGCCCTGCTGGCCGTGTCCAGCACAGCAGGCCCGGGGCAGAGGGAAGGGTACATTGTTCAGGAGCCCCAGATGAACTGGGGCTGTGAGGTGCATTACGTTCTCATTGGGGGGCCACTGGGTGCCAACAGCTCTGCTGCTGCTTGCTCCCGCTGCACCCCCTGACTCAGATGCCCCCCACCACGGACTCTGCACTTAGTAGTTGAGACCAGCTGGGCACCCCCTCACCCCCCACCCCTGCACGCACTCGTCCCTCCCTCCCACTGGCACCCCCCCCCCCACACATAGCCATTAATGAGAACAAGACACAAATGGGCAGGGTCTCATTTCCAGGGGCACTGAGTGGGGTGTGGAGGAGGTGAGGGGGTGTCCAGGGATCCACTCCAGCCCCGCGAAGGGTCTGAAACACGAGAAAAGGAGCGGAGATAACTTTCCTACCCGCCTCCATACACACAACCCCGCCCCCCGCCCCAACCGCTGGGCTCCTAACCAACAAGTCGGCTCGGAAAGGCTCCGGAGGGCTCAGGAGGACTTGGAAGAGTCGCCCTCTAGCGGAGACCCATCCAATCCCCAGCGGGCTGGGCCAAAGCAAGGGCGCCCCGGAGAGGATGGGAGAGATGGTGGGGGTGTCTCTAGTCCCTTAAGTCCCCAAAGGAAAGAAGGCACCCACCCTGGGGCACAGGCCAAAGCCCCCATCCTGGTCTACCCCGAACAAACCAGCCCTTCCTAACCGCGGCTCAGATCGCCTAGCGCCTCTCCGCACACCTCGAGCGGGGGGCGGGGACCGCTGGGACCAGCTCCACCCTTCGCTCTCCTTTCTCCCCATCGCTCCGGGATGACCCAGCTCTCAATCCGGGGAAAAGGGGGCTCCCTTCAAGCCCGGGCACTAGAGCCGGGTTGGGGTGGGGAGGCGCTCGAGGTTCCCACGCTCAGAGGAGCTGCCTCCCAAGCGCGCCTCGCTCCCAGGCCGGGCGACCGCGCCCACCCGTTCGAGGCGATAGGACGCAGGAGAGAAGGCATCTGTTTACGGAGACTCCAGAGGCGTACCCTGCAGGATCCAGGTCCAAACTCACAGGAGGTGCCCTCAACCTAGGCCTGGGGACTCCCCCTCCCGGCAAGAAGCGTGGTGGCGGTCCCGGACGTACCGGACGGGACACCGGCGACGAAAGAAACGCAGTGCAGCGACCCTGACGAAGCACCGAAGAACATGCGCGTGTTTCGCAGGAGGTGCGGCGCGCGGTCGCCCAGGCACTGGGTCACCCCGATATGGTAAAAGCCCAGGAAGCCACAGCCCGCGAAGGACAGGTTCCAGCCATTCTTGGGATCGTACATAGCGGCGTCGCGTTCGGGGTGCGGGCTTGGGGTCCCGGCTGCAGGGTTTGGAGCTCAGGCTCCGAGTCCGTGGTCTACCACCGCTTAACCCGACGCCCGCAGGTCCGCACGCCCGAACTCGCTGGACGCGAGGCCGGGGAAGTGCAGCTCTAGCCTTCCCTGCGTGACGTCAGCCCTGCCGCCCCGCCCCCTCGGTCCATGCAAATGAGCCCGCAGGTGGCCCAATGCGGGCACACCGCCCACCTGTCCCTGTTCCTCCCTCGGAGCTGAACCAGCTCCCGGCCGGGGGCGGGGGCGGAGCCGGGGGCGGGGGCGAGGCGGGGCGGGGCCGGCCTGCCCCAGGGCGAAGTCCAGGTCGAGGAGAGTTCTCGAGGCTTCAAAGGACCCGGCTGTCCCGGAGACAGAGAGCTCCCCTTCCCGTTCCTTTCCATCCCTTCACATAGGGAGAAAGCAGAAGTTCAGTTGCCTTACTTAGGTCCTCAGCATTTTATTTTTTACCCTCACCCGAAGACTTTTTTTCCTTTCTTTTAGAGAAAGGCCGGCTCTGGCTGGCGTGGCTCAGTGGATTGAGTGCTGGTCCCCAAACCACAGGGTCACTGGTTCAATTCCCAGTCAGGGCACACGCCTGGGTTTCCAACCAGGTCCCCAGCTGGGGGTGTGCAGGAGGCAACCTACCAATATTTCTCTCATACTCTCTCCCTCTCTTTCTCTTTCCCTTCCCTTCTCTCTCTAAAAAATATTTAAGGTAAAAAGGAAGAGGGGAGAGAGAAAAACAAGGCCAAACAACTTGAGCAATTTCACAAAGTTTTCTTTTCCCTAACCAAGAAGACTTAGGAGCAAATGATACACACCTTCTGGACCATCCCGGGGCATCCCTCTTCAGTGAACTTTTTAAAAAGTAAAACTGTCCAGAAGATCATCCCTGACCCCTCTATCAGCACATTTTGATGAATCGGCATATTGAAGGGCGCACCTAAGATCCTCCCAAAAACCTCCCCTAAATTCCAGTGCCAGGAAAAGATAAAAAGCTTCCGAGACAACCCAAGGCTCACCCTAGCTGGAACACGCTCCTGCCTCATGTCTCTGCTCTTGGTCTCCTAAACTCTCAGGGTCCCCACAAAACTCGCAACCAGGGGAGTAGCGAGCAGTGGCAGCTCGTCCCAGGCTCACCCCCTGAACCTGTCTCCAAGGCCCCCCTTTTCTCCGACTTCCCAGTGAGCTCACTGTTTTTTTTTTTTACTGGGACTTCTAGTTCTTAGAAAGCCGAAGCGGCCCTGCCTGGACCCTCTCCCGGTGCTGCTTCCACCCTGCGTCCTTCCTTCGTTTGGCTGCCCCCAGCTTTAATGAACGCACCCTCAAATGTCACCTGGACTCGTGTTGTGAAGTCTTTACTGCACAAAGTCAAGAACTCACGCACTGCGGGTGGGCCCAAGGCAGATGCTCTCTGGGCCCAGACCCCATCAGTAACAACACTCCCACTAGCACTGCTACGAGAGCCCGGGCTTGGGTCAACTTGAGGGTCAGACAGACGCCCCTAGCCACATGCCAGAGGCCATGTTGCTGGCAGCAATGAGCATGGTCCCGCCTGCCCGAGGTGGAGGGCTCTCTCCTGCCCCGAGGAGCCTTCCTGGTGTTTATTAAAGGAATAAGTGAGTGAGTGAGTGAGTGAGTGAATGGATGCTCAAGTGCTATCCTCCCCCCACATCAGGCTCCACATGGAAGCTCCTTCCAATCTACCCACCCTCACAGACCTGCACATTTTCTTAACCCGTCCTGGCCACTGTTCTTCGGTGTCTTAGGCGCTGTCTTAGATGGGCTCTCCAGAAGCCGACGGGCCCGGAGACCAGGCCCTGAGTGCCCAGTGGCCCCGGGAGGCATCACAGGGTGTAGGGAAATGAGAAGGGAAGCGGTGTCTTAGTTGGGGGGGTGACTACTATGGGTAGGCGGGGTTCAGTCCTGCTGGGGTTCTCCAGGAGAAACAATGTGCTCTGGGGTTGGGGGGAAGGGAACTGGGGTGTCCGCTGTCCTACGCTCGTCTGCCACGGGGAGCCGCTCAGCACCGCTGGAGCAGGCCGAACCTGTGACCGGAGCTGGCCGCAGGAAGGCGTCCTCGGGCAGGGAGATCTGGCGTGATGGCTGGGGCACCAACAGGGGGAGAGCCTTGAGGCATGGGGGGTGGGGGAGGGCAGGAGTCAGACACTTACGGCAGCAATGGCCCCACAGGGTGATGGGAGAAGCGCTGGGGCTGAGGGGCTCACCAGGCAACCATGTAGTTTGGGGCAAGCACCCCAAGAACTTTTTTATGCCCCCCCACCTTGAAATTCAATTTCAAACATTGAAACAGTTCAAGATGTACCAAAGAGACTGGATTTTGTGTTTCAAAATAGTGGGTTGGTTCGCAGACACACATCATTTGACTTCAGCAAATTCTTGTGCTTGTGTAAAGTGGCCCGGGGGACACTTGTAATGAAGGAAATGGCTGTCCTTGAAGACGCTGTGCCCAGAGCCTCAGAGAAAGGAGGGGACAAAAGCAGCATCAGGAACACACACCCAACGGAAGAAAAGATCAGAGGGGGACCCCTGCCAGGTGCAAACCCACAGCTGCTCCAGGTGGCGCTGGGCTGGTCGAGATGGCACCTCGGAGGGAGGAGGGCCTGCAGCAGCCACGGACCAGCTTCTGGGTGGGGCGCAGCCGAGCAGGAGCCGCCAGCCCCCTTCTGGAAGGAGAGGCCGCATTGGAAACAGCGGTGGCCAGGCTGACCCAGGAGGAGGGCAGGGCTGGGAGGCTCTCCGTCCTCCAAGACTGAGGGACAGAGAGGCTGCCCTCGTAGAAGGAGCGTGGGACCAGGCCACTGGGACGGAACTTCTGGCTGGACTCCACCTCTGGAGACAGCCCTGTGTCATCCAGCGATCACGGGTGCTAGGTCAGGGCCAACAGGAATCCCCACTTTAGGGTGAAGACAGAAACTATTCCGTGAAGAACAGCTCAGCTGTGATACAGCATGGCTGTGAGGCAGCCCCGCTGCCAGCACCCTCTCTGGTTGGACAGCGTTGCTCTGTGCCCGTCTGCTCCAGACATTTTTGGTGTCTTAGCTCCAGCTGGGGGAATGCATTTGGGGGCAGAAAAGGGAAATGCAGAGCCAGGGGGGAGCTGACTTACACGGGTAGCAGTCCCTGTCCTCAGTCCCTGAGTGGTGCAACCTCATGCAAATGAGACACCAAATCCCCAAAGTTTGATTGGCCCCAAAGGCACTGTCCTGATTAGTCAGAAAAAAGCCACTCTGATTGGTCAGGGAATATGGTGGGGATATAACTGAGTGGCTCCAATTGAATGAAGAAAGTCTCAGTGCTATTGGTTGAAACAGAATTCTGGAAACTTCTTTGTAAGGGCTGGCTCTGTGGCAGGAACGTGGTGCAGGCAGGCAGTTCAGTGCAGGCTTCTCGTAAATGGCAGAGCTGGGATGGAAACGCATCCATCAGTGTGCAAAGTGCACGCTTGCTGCCTGGCAACAGAACCCGTGGCGGCAGGCAGGCAGGCAGGGGCCGCTCAGGCTGGGGGAGGGGACGGGCCTTCCAGAGCCCCTCCACAGTGCTTTCGGGTAGGGCCTTCTGAAAGGACACACAGCAGCGGGGGTGGGGGTGGGGTGGGCAAGGTACTCACCCCCCTGGGCCCCAGGGTAAAGTGCAGAAGGACCGAAATGCAGAAGGAGGAAGGGCCGATGAGAACTCTTTCCTTGCCAACTCTAGGAGGCCGAGCACCTGGCCTAGAGTGTTCCGTGGGTTAGATGAGTTAACAGCTTGACAGTGACGAGAACAGCTTACTGACCCATAAAAAGATGAATGGGGCTGGAAGGAGAGTCAGGTGTTCAGGCCAAGGGACAGTGAGCCAGGACGGAAGGAGGGATCCTGTGCCCGCCGCGGCCTGTGACCCAGACCTTCCCACTTAGTTTTGCAATAACCCTAGTGGGCGTGACATTGTTTCCACTTCACAGATGAGGACACCAGGCAGAGGAGGCCAAGGGTCTCGCCCACGACCTGGCAGGTGACAATGCAGAGCTGGAATTCACACTCTGAGGCGAGGCAGGCAGCTTCCTTGAGCTCCTCCCAGGGAAAGAGGCTCCCTACGTCTCCCCCCACACCCCACCATGCGCAGCAGGCAAACTGGGGCAACTCTTCCCCTCCCGCTCCTTCTCCTGTGGCGGGGGTGTGGGGGTGGGGGGTGGGTGCGGACCAGGACTCTATGCTCTTCCCTCTCCGCCCAGCGCCCCCCGCCCCCACCCCGTCTGGCCCCCTAGGCCACAGCAGAGCGCTGGGGGAGGGGCCGCCCCCCCCCACACAGACTTTGAGGCCACACAGACAGAAGTCCCTCGTTTCATACAGTGGCCGTTCTCGCGTCAAGAGGCAGGGAGCAGTTTTGGCGAGGTGGGCGGGTTCTGCCAGGTGTCGGCGTCAGGGGGGCTGGCGGAAGGACCGACGGGAACCCTTTCTTGGCCACTTCACGTTAAACCTGACGTTATTCCGAAACAAAACGTTCACGAAAGAAAGGAAAAGGAGGAGTTCCACGGGAAGGTGGAGAAAGGGAGGAAAAGCATTTGGCTGTCGCGGGGTTTCGAACCCAGAGACTTTTGTCCCCGTCTGTTTGCACCGTTTCCTTTCCGGACCTCTGCGGGCCACCACGGCCTGGGTTGAGCTGCGGCAGGGACAGGGCCTGAGCGTCCCCCAGGAGCTGAAGCACCGGCAGGCAGGTCCCACGCAGCTGGGACTCCGAGTTAGGGGATTCAGGACGGGTGGTCTGTCTTCCGGATGGGGGGGGAGCACTCGCAAGCACGGAAGCACCCAGACCAGGGAGCCCCCCACCCCCGGGCCTACCGGTTAACCCTCCCTCACCCGAGACACTCAGGCGGCCCTGGGTAACTTCGTGAGTGAACCTCCGTGTCGGTGGGCTTTAAAAGCTTTTTTTAAAAACAAAACCAAAGACAGAAATGAGACTCTGGATGGACTTAGACGCTACTCCCCGCCACTCCCCCCGTCCCCCACGAAAACATCTGCAACCCATGAGCGGAGCCAAAAGGTCAGGGGACGTTTGCACTCGGACGTGGGGGAGGCGCCTGGGTGCCCAGACTG